CGAGTTAGTTCAAACGCTGTGCAATCCACGGAATGCGACGAACCAGCAGGTGCCGTGACGGTAGAGAAATCGCCATGGATGCTCCGTGGAATTGACAAATGTGGGCCATTCTCCACTCCAAGATTGAAAGTCGCATAATCCGACGTACGCAGTAGCTCATTCAGAGCCGTAGGCTCCAGTGCTGCACTGAATCGAGTAAGATTTCCCCCTGTGGCAAAGCCGCGAGATAGGCAGTGTGGATACGGAAATTTCTCGACGTAGAGCACCTGGAGCCTGGCAAATGGACCGTCCGTTACGCAATGCCCGTGAATGGACTCAATGTCCTTTTCGTTGCCGTCGCCGCCGAATCCGAGGGTGGTGTCCCAGACAGGAGCGTGGGTGACATCTTCCCAGTCGAGAGACCAATCCCAGTATCTGGAAGAACGATTAGCTCTTCGGATCTGCAGCTCAGGCTCTTGTACGTACGTGAGATGCCCTGCATAGGCGCATTGCTCCCTGAGTGCCTTCTCGTACACATGAATGAAATACCTATGCCAGGGAAGAAAAGCCGCAGTATCGTGTGCTTTAGACATTAGTAACACCAGCATTGCTGGGGCGTTCGTTACTCACAAGCCTCGCCATTCCGACTATGCACATACGGGAAATCATCATACAGGGTCTGATTGAGACCTAGTTTCGAAGGCGAGCTTCTTAGACATTGGACTGCTTCTATATAGTCATTCTTCTCTGCGTCACTCAAATCTCGCCACTCTCGACGTATGATGGGATTTGTACAGGCCGTGGATGGCAAAGAGTTGGAATCGATCTCTTGTTTGAAGAGGATGCCGCCACCAAAGCCCAGGACAGTGCACAAAACCGCTACGCAAAGCGCCAGTGACAAACGTAGAACCCTTGATCTATGCGCGTCGTTGACCGAAGATTGTGGATTCTTATCAGCTTTGTCGTCAGCAAACTCCAAGTCTACGACAGGGGCATAGGCCGCTGTCGATTGGCTGTACTGCATCATGAGTGTGGGTGAAGACTTCGATGGCCTACAAACAGCAGAAGACACAATCGAGGTTCGGCAGTCAAGAAGGCCTCTTCCATTCAATGATCATTGCCGAAAACGTGGAAAAATGAGCTTTTGGTCGGACCAACAATGACTTTGAACAAGAGGTGAAGCTCGTGGCCATTTTATAGAAGGCTAATTGAGGCCCTCTGAGTCGTATCCGGGGGGGTTGAATTACCTAGGTGCTGTCTAGGCACGGCGCCATTTGATACCAAGCAGCACAGCGTTAGTGTTGCGCAACGATACTCTGTATTGTATTATTCCTTCCTGATCCCAACCAATCAGTCAAGGCTTCGGATCCGCAATTACTGCGCAGTGACGTCTCGGAATCTTGTCGTGCGTCGAATATCAGGGAGAAGGATCTACGACGGAAAAAGCCTTCGTGATTGCGCATGGTGAAATAATACAACCCTTCATGTGGTACAGGTATGCAAACGAGTATTAAGTAGTGTCGCTCTTATTGATGCATAAGTCCATGGCTCATGAATCATACTAGTCACAAATCTAGGGTAGTCGAACTCTTCTCTACGCCTATGGCTCCATCAACAGAGCCCAGACTCCCAAAGAAGGCCACTTCGGGGACCTCTCATATAATCTCCGAGGTCTGCTTGAGTTCCGTCTCCCTCCAAATCCGTCCAGGGCCTCTCTCTAGTGTCTCGTACTTCTCTCCACCGCTCACCCTTCCCATGGCATAGGCTTCCACGTCAATGCTGACCAGAGTGTTGTGGCCCGATTTTCCGGTGTATGGAACGCCTGTGATGGCCGTTTCCGACTCTGTTCTCTTTGCGCTCCCCTTGGCGTTATGGGACGCCTTGTTGCCACTCCCGCTGGATCTCAAAGAGATCTGTGAGCGGAAACTCCTGATGATGCTCTCTGGTGACCAGCCTTGGAACAGTGGTCGAAGCACGGGAAGGCAGGCAGCTATCATGGCGATGCCAACTTCGAGCATGCCCCAGAACATGAGGATGCTGACAATTCCTGAGCGAGTTAGCAGACTTCCGGCTGCCTTGGAAGAAATGAAGCATACCAACGTCGTCGTCGGAAGGCACTCCGCCTACTTCAGCGTGAGAAAATACTAGGGCATAAATACGTTAGTCCCTATTTGTGACAGAGATCGCTCAACTTACACGCTGGGCCAAGGATTACGCCAAAGAGCGCCATGCGAGTAATACCGCAAGCAATAGCCCTGCATCTGTGTTAACCAGCGAGTGCCAAACTTCCAAGAAATATAGACTGACAGTGTGCCCACTAGCAAAATAACCAGGACGGCTACCTTGCGCCGCATTGGCATCTGAAGCGCAAGTACCTGGCTACATTAACACCCAAGATGTCGCTGACAGAACCATTTAGCGGACTTACCAATGGTACGGGCATGATCAAAATTGCCAGGTCCACAGCGACATCAGAGACGGCGAGCGCTATCAGGATATCAAATGTGTCCACGCAATCTCTCTTGAGAGCGCCCAGTGTCTGGAAGTTGGCAGCAATTGAAGTGCCGCAAGCCGCGAGTATTGCAATGATGAACGTTATAGCCCATGCCCCTACCACACCAATAAGGACCCAGCTTGCGATATCGAAAGCCCGGCCCCTAAAGATACGCCGATAGAAGAATAAGATGGAGAGCTTGATGGTTGCCAGCGCAAGGATCTGCATCAAGTCGAAAGGAAACTCCAACTGCAACAGACCATGAGTACCATCGTGTGATGACGATACCTAATCAACATACCTTCTCCAGCAGGATCTGATCAGATCCATCGTAGAAAGCTATTTCCGGCCCCAGATTTGGTGGTGAATGATAGCCCACGGTGTGCGTCACGGACCCTGCAAGTAAGCCTTTAGCAACAATACCCGGTATTCGAGATGGTGATATTACCTATGATCATGATAGTGCCCTCGGCGATGACGAGTGCCTCCGACATCATTAGCCTTTGGATGACCGTTTCGCAGGATCGATTAAGAACTCACCAATGCCGGTAGACATAGCCAGTCGTCAATACCCAACCCCGACTTTTGTCTTCTGATATTGAAGCGAGCTATCACCGCTGCGATAGCGAGAAGAATAAAAAGAATAGCAACGGCGAGAACGCTACCTCCGTTAACGTAAGTCATGATTTCTGCACGAACACAATCATTAAGACAGCAAAGAAGGCTGCCAGAAAATGGTATGTGAGTCACATAAGAGTCATCTTAGGGAGAGTCAAGGAAGCTGGTTCATGCGAGCAAGCTTGAACTCTAATGTCAGCGCCCCACACGGTCAAGAAGGCGAATTTCTGTCCCGGGTGAGGATATTGCGGGGGGGCGTTCATCACAACAGGCCCATTGGCTCGCTGAAGTGCCGGGAAAAGAAATGCTGTCTATCAATGGGAGTGCAAGCAGCGCAACGGGTCCACGGCAGCGGTCCGGAGGGTCAAATTGCTGTTCCGGTACCTCTGGAGGTTTTTCCCTGTGGTTATGCTCCTGGGCGACATTGATTGGTGCTCATTACCTTCCTGCACGGGAGGTTCTTTAACTTCTTTTCACCGCGGGTTGCATTAGTATAAAAGCCACCTTGGCTCTGCATCAACCTTTGGTGACATTCATGCGCGTTATACATCATGCATAAGTGCGCCGAGTCAACAAAGGCCCCTGAGCGTGCCAGGTCTGACAGGGTTAATACCAGTACCGACTACCAAAGCAAGAATATGATACTCTGGTGAACTGTAGGTAGACAGTACTCTACCTGAGATACGTACGAGTACTACACGGGCTGGATAGAAACCGCCAGCTGTTCAGCAGCAAATGTTTCCCCGCAGTATGGGAAGAGCACATATCCAATGGATATGAATTCATATTTTCCCCTGTAGGTATGAAAAGTCATATGCGGCTTTAGCCAAAAAGGGAGTGCCCGAAGTGGACCGATCATCCGACGGATGCAGCTCAAGCGAAGCGACACAGGGTTCATCTCATCTTTTCTCATTTCATTTCATTTTGCAACAACAACAACAACAACAGCAGTCCGAGCTCACCTGCAGTAAAGTAGGTAGGCATACCCGCTTGCTGCACACCCTACAGCCGCAATCCTTCAGCATCATATGATCAGCACAGCTTGCGCTTCTGCTATGCATATTCCAACAAGGATGCTCGTCTCTTGTCAATTCGCTTCACACGCGCTATCATCTATGATCAACGTCCCGTCAACGCTTTTTCTCTTCACCTTCCGGATGCGTAAAGCGAACGTTTGGCGACATTGCCATGATGATTCGTAGTCACGAGTCTCCGTCGGAACTTGAATGAGACTAACGGTGCTCGGTTCGGGTGGTACACGCAACGCATTTCGTATCCGAGGCACATAGCATACCACCACTCTTCTCACCTTTCATTTTCTCGCCTACCCACATTGTGTGAACCAATCATTTTCCAGGAGTCACCCTTTCAACTCCAGTTCTAGGCCCAGATGGACAAGGTTCAAGCTCAGCAGCATCACCTTAAGTCATTCCATCTTCTTCTGAGACAAAGCTGTCATCTATCGTCTACCTGCTCAACTTATCCTGGAAACCCCAAGTTTCATTGAGCTATCGAGGACTGAAGAACATGGATTCCAAGTACTTGCGTTTACCCCAGGATGCATCAGATCTGCTTTATTCAGGAAACGAAAAAGAGGGAAATGGCCGCCGACCTCGATTCTCGTGGGGAAAGCTGATATTGTCGCTCTCGGTGGTGGTCAATATCTTTCTATCAGTTTCGGTTGTTCTGATGCTGAGAGAAAAGCCCACGCCAACCGGCTTCGGTGAGAATAAACGGTCAATCCGCGTGAGAGTGGTGACTGACAGGTCTCAGCCAAGGTCGACTCTCTCACGACCACATGGGACCAATTCTGGTGGAACACGGCTTACAGTCCCAAGAACCACTCCGATAGCGACGAGCTGTGGGAAGCTATCCTCCCGTCTCATGGTTTCGTGGCAATGGACCGAAAATGGGCGGAGCAGAGACAATGGCCGGCATCGATGTACCTGCCGAGCGATCACAGTAAGGGTGTCTATCTGTTGGAAGCCTATCATCAACTGCACTGTCTGGTAAGTCTTGATGCACCCTGTGGTGCCATCCTGACGCTGCTAAAAGATGTCTAGCGGATCCTACGCAACACGTTTTGGGAAGCCGTTGAACATCGACCATTTACCTATCACCCGTCGAGCCACATGGAGCACTGTTTTGACACGTTACGCCAGGTGAGGAGCAAATTCGTATGGCCGCTGATGAGACGCCCGCTAATACGCTTCATGCAGTCTGTGATGTGCAATGCAGACAACACTCCGCTCTACACTTTTGGGGACAAGACGGCTGGGGATGGCCAGCTCCACCGCTGCCGAGATTGGAATGAGCTTCGCGATTTTGCGACCGAGAATACTGCCTGCTATCGGGATTCTGTGGGGGATATTCCTCTTGGAGAACATTTCGGATATTGCGATGAGGGGGTTGATGGTCTGACCGCAGCTTGATAGTTTCGAGCTACAAGCATCCTGCGGGGAAGTTTCCCTGTACGAATATCTTTTATGTCGTGCAAGGATGGGAAGTGAAGGTCTTAATCCCACCATATTTGAAGCCAGTCCAAAATGTTCTAGTCAAACACATCTGAAGTTCTTTGCATATTCTTCAAGTCAGTAGCACGTTTAGGTAGAGTTGATCAACGATCAGCCTGATTTTCGGGTCTCTACAAAGACTCTGTACTACAAGCATAATACGAGCGTCTACAAACCTACCTACCATAGTCCAACAATTAATTGTGGATCATGGAATGTTGGATGAGCTCAATTGAATCCCCAACGACTCTTCCCAACATGAGGGCCAATTGCGCTTTTTTGTCATTGATTTCGCGGGGAGAGCATTGACACTCTTGAAATAGTTTAGCTCCAAGTACTCCGTTCCGCCGTTGTCGTCAGTGAAGTCAAAATGTGCTCTGACATGATATTTGCAACGGTGCTTTCAAGAGCTGCAGGGCGTTTTACATTACTAGGTATCTACTTTCGATACTTTGTACTGACTCGTATCATCAGTTCTGTAATTTAAATGTCTGGGCACGGCCGCCCGTAATGTAAAGTAAATATTAGATACCTTATACCTACCTTAAAAATCCGAGGCTCGGACATCGCGCTTGGTCACTTTTTGATTTCCAGTTTGTGCTTGCTATTCAACATCAATCCTTGTATACCGCTCCAACCTCCACTGATGGCCCTGACCACAATACTCCTCCAAGCATCTCGATATTATTGATGAGATGAAATTTGAGGATTCATAGTATCATTCACCTGCATTCAAGCGCAGCAATCATTCCACTCATAACGGCGATGCTGCTACTGCAGCCGTTGCTTTACGAGCCTATCCCATGAGCCAAAAATGGAGAACGGACGGAATATAGGAAGAAATCGCCCGATTCGTGTTGCTGGGAAGATCTGCGTAACGAACTTTCAGCAATGATCATGCACTTCTCGTTAGCCATCTGTCTCGTTCCTCCTTTTCCTACGGTGACTGCCCGAGCAAAGCGCTGGCAAATACGCTAGGATGCCCAACTCCTCTTAGATCATACGCTCGTGCATCATCTTGTCCAAACAGTTCGCAGAAGCGGGCGAGAAGGGTACGTATGCATGGAAACATCCATCGAAGACGTTGATCTGCCCATGGCGCCATGCTTTTACTTTTTCCACCCCGGGTTTCTCTACCACAAAGCGAATGGCTTGGACCCAAGCTGCAAAGCGATCGAGCATTTGCCATCCGGACATGCACGGTCGTGGAATTGATTGGACCCAGCGATCGAAGCGTTCGAAGGAATCGAGCGATCTATGCAGTGCAGAGATGAAATCCGGGAACGACTGGTGGTGAATATAACCGTTTCCTGCACGAGATCTGGGTGGACCGGGGTCTGAAAAGTGCGGAGAGAGCAGTACGAGTGGAGGAGAAAATTCGCCGTGTCTGCTCGGTGACAGGACATTGGCGTCAAAGGTGAGCTCGGGACTTGACGTCGGTTCGAGCAACGGTGACTCTTTGACAGAGCTGCCCGTCCCATCGTCCGTGGTTGTACGCTTGACAGCTCACCATTCTCATCTACGTACGTAGTTATCCCCAAACCAACACGCACAGACGCAGGCTTGTCATCCTTCCCGTCTGTGCCAACTCATCGCTCGACGTCCTAGTTGTCTCGGCCTACTCGTGCTCGGAAAACGTGTCCTATATAAGACACCTGCATGCACCTTCCTGTCTCCCATCCATCTCGTCCATCTCAAGTCATCTATCCCTGCCATCGATATATCTCATCCACATCAAACACCGTCCACACCTCCCTCACACCCTCTCCCCCAATCCCATCCAAGCAACCCGCAAAAGCCAGAACCTCTCCGAATCCCCTCAGCAACAATGCACGCCCAGAACATCTTCGCCTTCCTCGCCCTCGCCGTCGTGGCCATGAGCGCCGCTCTCCCTGCAGCAGCTGTGCCTGCCCCGGACGCTGGTTCGTATCTGCGACTCCGCTGAGGATCTCGATGGATCGGGCTAACGTTGTCTGCAGAGATTGTGCGGAAGAGCGAGGCTTCGGCTGACGACGTGGACATCGCGCAGATTGGAGACGGGTACTAGGAGGGTCAAGGGGATGGAGGGATGGGGGCCTTGATGGGAGGACGGGAGGCTGGCTGGCATCACTAATTTGTGTTGGGCGGATGGCACGTCGGGCGGTTCTGTACTCGAGCATCACACTTCGTTGCATCTACAATCTCGGGCGTTGGAATTAGACTGGGATTCGTTCGGGGAGCTCGCAAAATACATGACGTTCGCTGCTCCATTCGACACATCTTTGCTCCTCTATCCCTCCATCTGACTTGCATTCGCCTATCTATTTCGACACGATGAGATTCCAAAGTTATCCGGCCCAAACCGCCTCGATGATAGACAGCGTAGCCCCTTCCGGAACCCAAATCACCACATCCTTGAACCGAGGATCCGCCTCCTTGAAAACCTGCTCCCAATCCGCACGGTCGCGCTCCCGGGCGTTGAAGAGACTCAGCATGATCATATCCATACCGCTGTAAAGAAGGCCATCAGCCTCTGACATCAACCCGGGGGGGGGTGGGTCTACAGGGGAGGGAAAAGAACAAGGGGTGCACCGCTCACCGAATCTCCCGCTCCTTGGACGGCGCCATGGTCTTGGGCTCGGGGATGAGGTAATCGTTCGCGACGACGCGGGCGCCGGGCGCGAGGGCGGGGACGGTGGCGCGCAGGATGCGGACGACGTGGGCGTCGGACCAGTTGTGGAAGATGTTGCGGAAGAGGTAGACGGCGGCGGCGGGGACGGGCTGCGGGGCGAAGAAGTCGTGGGCCATGAAGGCGACGCGGGCGGCGACGGGGGCGGGGACGGCGTCGGGCGCGCCGCGGATCATGTCCGGGAGGTCCTGGACGACGAGGCGGAGGTGGGGGTGCGACTGGGCGAGGGCGAGGGCGACGTGGCCGCGGGAGCCGCCGACGTCGACGACGGTGGCGGTGCCGTCGGGGCCGGCGAGGGAGGACCAGGGGTAGCCCTCGGTCAGGAAGCGGGGGGAGAGGCCGACGCCGTCGGAGAAGGCGGACATGGAGCCGGCGAAGCGGCGGGCCATGGCCGGGTGCTCGGCGTAGTGCTCCCAGACCGGCCGGTCGGTGCGCTGGGACAGGCTCCAGCCGGAGTGGTGGGGTTCGTCGCTTTGGAACCGCTCCCGCGCCTCGACGGTGCGCGCGAACGACTGCCAGACCTCGTCGAACATGTACCCGAGCCCGGCCCTGGCGTCGGCGTCCTCGGCCAGCTTGCGCGACGCGGCCGAGTGCGCGACGTGGCCCTCGCGGGGCTCGTGGAAGACGCGGTGGTAGGCGATGGCGAAGCGGACGATGCGTCGGAGGTTCGTTTCCGACATGCCGCATTTCCTGCCCAGGTCTGCGAAGGAGATTTGCCCGTGGATGGGGACGTGGGAGGCGATGTCGTATTTGTAGATTGCCTGCAGGCTTACACCGTTCAACTGCGGTCGGGAGCGTGTCAGCGGAAGCCTTACGGCTTGTCGTGTCTGGATACTCACCACGGGACGAAGGCACATGGCGGGCCCGAGGAGAAGCTGGTGGAGCTCGAGACTGGAGTCCAGGGCTGTCTCGCGGGCTTTTTGGATTTCCTCATCTTCAATCTGGAAATCGACGGGGCCGTCTACATGGAACGATGGCGACGGTAGGTTTTTACTCTGGAGGTACTGGTCCACTTTCGCGGTGTTTTCCTGGATTTGGGCAGCTAGGTCGGCAATTCTTGTGGAAGCCATTGGGGAATTCTGCTCCTACTGCAGGGAGCGGAAGAGGGAATCGCAAGAGAGAAGACTAGTAGCCGAAGGGCATACTGTGTGAATGATTGATGTTTACGAATGTCAAACAAAGCCCGGTTCAAGCTAAGAGTGAGAAGGCAAGGCGAAGAGAAGGATGTGCATGACAAACTAATTGCACTCACAAACAGGAAGGGAGATTCGATATTTGTGTATCCACCTCACAAGATTGAGAAAGACATTAACGAACATTGAAGAAGATGGGATTAAGACAAGGAACATTCATGGCAGCAATGGTATGTATGGTATGGAAAGAAAAGCTCGGTCACTTGTGTTTTGTTTTAGGCCTCGGACCTCTTGTACCTCTTGTGCTTTCCCGCAGAACTCCGAAAGCGCGGAAAAGGAGTCATGGATTCATGTTGTACTGATGTTGTGGTGCATGAGCTAAATCTTGGTCGCATATTCAATTAACGCCGTCATGCACGTCAAAATTATGGGGTAATACCGGACCCTTCCTTCTCTCGTCCAATCAAAAGACTAAGGGACCTACCTACCTGCTGTAATTTGATAAGGTACCGTATTTAATCGGTGTATGTAACGCTAAGGAGAAAAATGCAGGATTTGGTATCATCATTTTCCCTGTCAGCTGTCAGCTGTAATACTTCTCCTCTGTATGATCATCCTTCGTAAGAAGTCACGTTTCTCGTGCAGGCCTGTCAATTCACCGTGAACCAGGTCCATCTCTGCAATGTTAAAATTGCTGCGAACTAGCCATTCACCGTCATACTTCCCCATTGACGACGACAATGATCCCGGGAAAGAGACAGTACAGTCTCTTCGCGGCCAGGGAAAGCGTGCTCTTTGGTCCCCTTGGTTACAGCTTGCTATGATGGTCGTCTCTTTCTTGCTCGCGGGCACTGCTGGCTTCTTCATTGGCCTTTCACTTCCTCAAAAACGACTGGCTTCCTGGTCGCTTCCAGATACGGTGCCGCAGGGTACATTGTCTTCCCGAATATCACGTACCCGACCTGCTGACCGGCTGTCTTCCAGTATTCATCGGCTTGTCCACGGAGACGTTCCAATACAACGAAAGCTTTGCGACTCCACCGCCCCAAGAAGGAGGCCAAGAGCCAGTCTGGGACTCTTTGATCCCCAGTAAGGCCGTATACCTCTTCAAGTTGGTCTCAATGGCATGGCTGACACTGCCACAGATGGCCTGGGCTACGTGAAGCATCCAACTCTGGCCCCGAACCTGTCCGTCATCAGCGTCTTCCATCAGCTTCACTGCTTGGTAAGTTGACATTAAAGACCCAACGACTCCGCCATCTGGTTACTCACCAGCTGACAGTACACACTCCGCCGAGCATACTATGCAATTTCTGAGGATCAACATAAGCTAGAAGACTTCGACTTTGGGATCGAAAGGGCTCCGCATGCGGCTCACTGCTTTGAGTATTTGAGACAGGCTCTCATGTGTTCTGCCGACTCGAGCATCGAGCCGGCAGGGAAAAGAGTTGAAGGCTTCCTAGGGTGGGGCTTTCAAAGACAGTGCCGGGATTATGGGGGGTTGATGGCTTGGGCGGAGAAGTGGAGAGCGTTCAATGGCCAGGGCTTTATAGCAGAGCCACCCGGCTGATGTGTGCAGACTCGCATTTTCTCGCATAGATTTCGAAGATGTGCCGCCGTACCCAGGCTTGCGGCTCTGATCCTGAGCGGCCCAGGCAAGAAAGCTCAGGTGGAAATGGGTTCGATTGAAAGAGAATGTATTAAATTAAAAGAAAACAATGTCGACCCCCAGTCATGCCGGTCTGGAAATCGATAAGCTTTTCTTCCCAATAGCTCTGCTTCTCCTGTGTTTAATTTTCTCTATACCGCCCGCTGAGCGATCAAGTGTTCTATCCTCGGTAGGATATTGGCTCCGACGCATCGAAGATATGCTCTTCATGTAGATCTGTATGTCTGTTGAAGCTGGCATGACAGATGTTGACGACATCCCTAGCATGACATCTGCACGTCTGTGGCACTTGCATTCCTCGTACTTTGGCCCGAACCATGGGAAGACGGCCTTACGGCTGCATGTAACTGGCACTCTAGGGCGGCAGAGCTCTGTGTAGGCGTTTTCCTCATGAGAGCTTCACTACTTCTTTTTCAGCTTTGCTCGTCGACTCGACTTAGCTAGTCTGGGAGTGCAACAATAAGGAACGTACTTTTCTCCTGACGGGGCCAGAATAACAGAGTATGGGTCTTGATTGTGCCGGAAATCCCTAGGCTCACTCTATTCTAGGTTAGCATAGCCCTGCTTCGTTGCAGGACTACTATAGACACACAATCTTAAGTCCCCGGACCTTAGGCCGAGAGCGTATAGATGGCGGACGGAAGTTTTGACGGAAGAAGTCTTTGCAACTCATGGTTCGCTCTCGAAAAGTTCCCATATAATGTGATAGAAGGCGAGGTGGTGGTGTAGAGAGAGACAAAAGGGATATGATGACGAAAGGACCCGTGAGAAAGCTCGCCGCAAATGTGGAACCTCAGGAGAAGCTCAAAAGCAAACAGCGGAATGAAGAAAGGCGTAATTACGGCAAGATCAAATCATGCAGATCGATGGTCATTTTCAGAAGACGAAGAAAAGAAGTATATATGAAGCTCGGCATTGGAGGGGCAACGGCCAAAATGAAGATGAGCGCAGTGGAGAATCGTGGGTTGGAAGCCTTGGAATGTTGTAGGTGTGTTCCATGGTGTTTCGTACAACTCGTCGAGTAGGTGATGTCCAAACTCGACTGACTATTACAAACTTGAGAAGGGGGCTTCGCTCCAAGAACTTTGAGCTTTGCATTCTCATCTGCATTCTCGCCTGCATTCTCGCCTGCATTCTAAAATCAGCGGAGCATGGCTGCAGCCCAAAATGCCTCTGCCTCTTTTCTCGTAGGGCTGCTAGCTTCAACGGCCATAATGACGATTTTGCATAGCAGCTCCAAATCTTAGCTCTCTACGTTGACTTTTAAACGATAGCACCGGTCAATGAGCAGGCCATATCATATTAATATTCCAATTGAGGAAACTTACTTCATTGCAAGGCCTAGGGTATGACTTTTTGCGCGTAGGCTGGCTGATCCAGAATGTCTACTGAAGTCATAACGACAATATCACCGTCCACCAACAAGCCAGTCTTGACGCGAAACGGCCTGTCGGACTCAGACGTGGCACTCCTGCCTGCCTTGTCTACCAAGGCCTTCAATGCCTTTCGTCTCACATCACTCGAAGAACGCCAGGCCATTGTCAAGAGAGCGCTGAAGCTCATCAGCGATAATCAAGATGTGCTTGCGAGGGAGCTCACAGAGCAAATGGGAAGACCGATAGCTTATGCTGCGAAGGAAATCACTACGGCAGTCGCGAGGGGCGAGTATCTGCTGAAGATCAGTAGTGATGCCTTAAGAGACACTCAAGGCGAGCCGGAGAAGGGTTTCAAGAGGTATATCAGGAAAGCAGCAATTGGACCGGTCTTGATTCTGTTTGCTTGGAACGTGGGTAGCTGCAGCCCAAATCATGACAGTCGAACTTTGCTTACGAAGGCTCTCTAGTATCCATACCTCATCTTGGTCAATTCTTTGATACCCGCTCTACTCGCTGGCAATTCGGTCATAATCAAGCCTTCACCACAGACCCCTACGATCGCGGAGCAGGTGCAAGAAATATTTGTCGAAGCTGGGCTGCCGGATAATGTGATCCAGTATTTTCATTGCGGCTCTTTGGCACGTTTAGAGAGCATAGTGCGCTCACCTCAAATGAAGCTAATATGCTTCACGGGATCCGTAGCTGGAGGCCTACAAGTTCAGCGCGCCGCATCAGACCGTGTAGTTCCTGTTGGGCTTGAGCTCGGAGGCAAGGATCCTGCTTACGTGAGGGAAGATGTCGATGTGAAATGGGCGGCAGAAGAGATTGTGGATGGTGCAGTCTTCAACTCTGGACAAAGTTGCTGCAGTATTGAGAGAGTCTATGTTGCTGAAAATATTCACGACGCTTTCATATCTGCAGTGCAAGATGTGCTGAAGGGCTATAAGCTTGGCGATCCTTTCGACCTAAGCACTAATGTTGGACCGGTAGTGTCGAAGAAATCAGCAGAGACCATCAAAGCTCACGTCGAGGACGCAATAGACAGTATGTTATACTTTGAGGCACTCGTTCCCCATTGATGCTACGTTATAAGTCGTCAGACATGTCTAAACAGTCGTCTGCTCCTAAGACATGTCTCGCGACTCAGAATTCCTTGCGAAAGAGTAATGCTGACTCCAAAACCATCAAGAGGGAGCAAAGGACTCGACTCCGGAGAACGAAAGCTTCGTGTCGCCACCGGCAGGCGGCAGTTATGTTAGACCAACACTCTTGACAAACGTGACCCACGACATGGTACGGCGGCCTGTTTACATCTCCATGTATTTGCTAACTTGATCCAGGATGTAATGAACGACGAGACATTCGGACCGATAATACCAGTAATGAGAGTGGGTAATGACGAGGAAGCCGTCCGATTGATGAACGATAGCGAATTTGGCCTCACGGCCAGTATTTGGACGAAGGACACTGCGAAAGGCGAAGAACTTGCCGAGCATGTGGAAGCAGGTACAGTGTTCGTCAACAGATGCGATTTTCCCAGCCCAGTAAGTCGATTCGGCATACAGCAAGTTGTATGTATGCTGACCGAAGCAAGGATCTTGCGTGGACAGGGTGGAAGAGCTCCGGCAAAGGAGTCACGCTGAGCAAGTTTGGTTTCGAGCAGTTTGTCAAGTTGAAGAGCTTCCACGTCAAGCAGTATCCGAGCTAGTATTTCTGTGGGCTCATCGCTTCATTGCTGAGTGATACGAGGGGCTGAACCCAAATGGGTTTCTCATCATATACAACTCCGCTGACTGAGCACTAATCAGGGGCGAGAATGTAGACGAGAATGCAAGGGGTTCTAGGGTTTTGGAGCGTTCCACGACGAGACCCTGGGGCTAAGCAATAGGTGATGGTTCTCCATTGACAATTCCCCATCGAGTCTATCTTTTCGAACATAGGGAAATCATCCCCTGGTATTGTCTAAGATGTTGTAGATGTATGTATATGCAAATATGTACAAATCGGTAGATAGATATTCAACGGTACCTTCAGGTATCTTGATTCAAAAAATCTGAACACATGCAATAAAGGCTCGCTCCTCCAGCACCCAACAATGCTTTTATCCAAATGCATTCACTCAGCTCAGGCCTCATCATCGCTCTCTGCTTCAGCAACGTCGTCATGAAATGTTTTTCCTTCCGTCGTAGGCTTGATGTAACCCGCTCTGATGACCCAATCCCCAAAGTGTTCCTCTTGTTTTCTCTCCATTGCGTATCGCTTGAGCATTGGCTTCATAATTTCCAATATCTCTTCTTCTTGTATCGAGCTACGATATAGCTTGTTCAGCCGTTGGCCGTGGTAGCCGCCGCCAAGGTACATGTTATAAGCTCCATAGGCCTTGCCAACAAAAGCCACCTCAGCTAGCCATGGCCTTGCACAGCCGTTGGGGCATCCAGTCATGCGCATCACGATACTGTCCTGCTTCAGCCCGTTCTCTTCCAAACAATCTTCAAGTTTGGTAATCAGTTGCGGCAAGTAACGTTCCGACTCCGCCATCGCGAGACCGCATGTTGGGAACGCCACACAAGCTGACGAGCTTAATCGCAAGCCGGAGAATTGCACATTGTCGAGGTTGTATTGCTTCATCATCCCCCTGATACTGTCCAGATCATCGTCGTGCACGCCGGAAAGGCAAAGATGCTGATTGCCTGTCAGGCGGAACTCGCCTTTGTGCACTTTGGCAATCTCGCGCAAGCCTGTCTTCATGGGGTAATCCGCCGTATCTTCGATGCGTCCGTTCTCGATGAAAAAAGTGAAATGATTCATCCCGAACTCGTCCTTCTGCCAGCCGAACGTATCGATGTTGGACTCGAATTCGAAAGGTCTGGGCTCCTCGAACTGATATCCGAGAAGATCTTCGACCTTGGAGCGGAATACGTCAACACCCATGTCGTCGATAGTGTACTTTAGCCTTGCATGCTTCCTATTCGTACGGTCACCGTTGTCGCGTTGGACGAGCATGATTTTCTCGCAAACGAATTGGATCTTTTCGGCAGAAGCATAGCCCATCATACTGCCTGTACGAGGGTAGGTCTTCTTATTGTTGTGCGTCACACCCATACCACCACCCGCAAGAACGTTGAAACCTTCCAAACGCCCATTACTGCCTTTGATGGCAATAAGACCGACGTCGTGAGCGAATACATCAGTATCATTGTGAGGTGGAATTGCGATGGTGATCTTAAATTTTCGAGGAAGGTAAGTTGGGCCGTAAAGAGGCTCGCGGTCAACAATTGCATCGCCGGCAACCTTTGTCTGCTTATCGTTATCATCTTTCAGCCAAATCTCATGGTAGGCGGTTGTGGCAGGTAATAAGTGGTCGCTGATCCTAGCTGCTGTTTGATGGACATCTCGGTGATATGCAGACTGGGTTGGTAGAGAGCTGCACATGACATTGCGGTTCACATCACCGCAGGCGGCTATTGTCGTCATTAGCGCTTTGTTGATACCTCGCATAGCTGACTTGAGCTTGCTCTTAATCACGCCATGAAATTGAAATGTTTGCCTGGTGGTCATCTTCATGGTCTCATTACCGTACGAACTGCTAATGGCGTCCATTTGCAGCCACTGCGATGGAGTAGCAACGCCACCATTCAATCTACACCGGATCATGAAAGCATAGGCGGGTTCCAGACCCTGTGCTTTTCGCTCGTCACGAAGATCGCGGTCATCTTGCATATAAGTCCCATGGAACTTTGTAAGCTGTTGGTCTGAAGCCGCGATAGCCCCAGTGCTATGATCCTCGAGACCTTCGGCAATTGTACCACGCAGGAAATTTGATTGGATCTTGATATCTTCGTTCGTGATTGGTGGAGGCTCCTCGGGTAGGCCTTCGACCTTGTCGACATTGAGTGCCTGCCATAGCTTTGGCTCCCACTCACTGTAACCGGTCTGGTAGCTGTCGGGATCCTGATCATCTCCAAGTCCAATATCAATAAGACGTCTGCCACCCAGGAAAGATACTCTTGCATCCAAATCCTTGCCTGGCTTGTTGTAATAAATCCTGTCCTCCTTCCTAGGCCAGTAGTGACTATCACCAAGCGCGAACACGGTATAGTTGATTTGGGATAGGTCCAATTCAGCGTTTTCTTTGACCGCATCCCAGAAAGCGCGCCCATTCTGCGGAAATTCTCCCTGGCCAGCGGTACTTGTTATCATCACCACGTTTTCTTCTCCGGGTAGATCATCCAGAGGATAGTCGTCCATGGCCATAACAATGGTCTTGAGACCTCTCGTCTTTCCCCTGTTACCGAGTCGCTTAGCCAAGCTTTCGGCATTACCATTGTCTGAGGCATAAATGATGGTCACAGGAGCCCCATAAAGACTCTCAAGCATCTTGTCGTATGCGTCCTTCGCGCGTCGCTTTTGCAGTGTACGCACTTCAGTGCCATACGACTCAGATAGATTAGCAGCGAATTCTGGATGTCTGTTCATCAACTGTGTCAAGTGATTTTCCCTTTTCAGAAACTCCTCAAGCTCTTGCTTGATCCGCTCAGAATCAAGCGAGAAGTTCGCTTCGCCCTTCTCCTCATTGTTGGGATTCCATCGGTACAACGGCCAGTAACCCAGATCGACAGCTTTCTTAGTCTCTTGCAAGACAGTCAATGGCGAGTCATTTTCCTTATTGTAGGGGAGATATGCAACGACGACAGAAGGTCCATCATACTGGTCTGCTTCGATCATAGCTTCTAGCACTTGGGTATACGAACTGTAGACAGCTACAGAGGCAACGTAAGCGTTCCCGAAATTCATTGCATACAAACCGATATCCTTCTTCCTTCTGGTCGCATCAGCAGCAACTCTCTCCGACCAGGGCTGGGAGTCAATGATCAGCATGTTCACGTTTGCACCAGATGCAATGACGTGATGCACTCCGGAATTGCCTAGATCGTAGGACCAAGCATCCGATCCAATGAGCCATTGAGACTCCTTGAAGAACAAAGACTTCGAGGACAGAAGCTGAGATGCCAGCTTTGAGCCATCCGTACTCAATCGTGCGATCACTTCTTGCGCCAAGGCGTTGGCCTTTTTAGGATCTTCTGCGCTTAATGCCCATTTCGAAAGCCAGCTTTGAGGTATATCAGTAACAAAGTCTCGACTTGCTGCAGCTTCTTGGACGTCTCCGATAAACCTCATTCGATGATCCATGCGGGCGAGAAGAGAGCCAAACCCGAACTCCGGATTCGCTGCAATAGAAGGAGATATGCCAGCATCCGTGGCGTCGAGGCGATTTGCTAAATGAAGCCGCTCACCAAACAACTGGTCGAGCATTTTCATGTATGCACTTTCAATTTTGGGTTGTTCCAAGCTGTATTCGTTCAGTGAGACCCAAGGCTGTTGATGATTACCAACCTCGAGATTTTGGATGGGAGATGTCGATCTGAGGTTCTGAAAAATTCCGCGCAAAGCTTGACGAGCAGTTGCAGGCTCTATGTAGCCTAATCGATGGCCCACTATCAACGGTGGACCGGCTGTTAATGGCCCGGTGCGGAGGCTGGTCAAAAGGTCCAGTAATACAGGTCCCCACTTCACTGTCTTTTTTCGTATTTGTTCTAGAACAGCTATTCTTTTCACTGATGTAGGAACAGCTTCGAGCAGATCGCTACTGATCCAGGGTCTGTAAAGACGGGCTGTAATGATGCCGCACTTGGCGAACTCATCCGACGGCTTGGCTTCTAGAATTTCGTCGATAAATAAGCCAGTGGAACCGAAGACGAAGAGTGCTGACTCCGCGTCATCTGGTCCCGAGTATTCGAAAGCTCGGTAAGTGCGGCCGGTCGCTGTGCTGATTTGCGACCAGATTCCAGACAAGAAGGTGCTTATATCTTCCGAAGTGACGGGCCGGGTCGCTGTAGAGTTTATTGATGTCGCAGAAGACATTGTAGGCCGGCTATCTGCGCTGCTTTCGCGGGCGGACGAGCCAATCGACGACCCCGCACGACTTGTAACCTTGGCCTCTCCTTCGATGATTGCTTCTCTTGCCAACAGCGGTGAGATCGTGGGGCCCTCGGGTGACGCATTTGAGTTTTTATTCGCAGTGATGGTCGGCCGCCTGCCTTCATCAACGTAGAGAGACGACCCTGGTGTTGATATTGATCTATATTCCGCTGCGGCATCGGTGTCCAAAACCTTCTTGATCAACTCCGGATCTTCCACAGGCACAGGGTAGTCATTCTTCGAATTCGCAGGATCAAAGAAATGAATGACACCCTTCCCAGACTTGGCAGCCAAGGCATGTGCTGACAATGCTATATCCTGGCCCTCGCGCAGTGTCTCTGACTGCAAAAAGGTAAAGCCACATTGCCGTATTGACGTGATCTCGGAATAGTCTGGGTATCCAAATGAATGGAGGGCCACATGTATGACTATGGGATATTGGGCGAGCTTATATAGATGAGGGATCGAGGATAGCAGTATCGATGAAGATGTCGTGACTGAGACGAGCTTTCCTGACCGGAGGGGCTGGAAAGCGGACAGGAGAGGGTCCACATTATGTCGTATTGCATGCACCTAGACATGTGTGAGCAAGTTGTCTTTCGCCAACCTCAAGAAGCAGTTTACCTCAGGTTCTTTGGCTATGATACCTGGCATTCGCTTTGAAGCGAGTGAATGCAGTTGTCTCGAAAATTCGGAGTCGGCGCCAAGAGCAGGCTGTACAGAGAGTACAACATCGCTGGAAGCATATGCTATCCTTGCCACTGTCATCACATGAATAGATCAGCGTTGGAGCACATTGAGAGCATAAAGATACGGACAAGGCGGGGCCAGGGAATACGTACCTGCTTCACCAACGGAGGCTGTTGAAGCCATGATGGACAGCAATGGCCTTTGTGAATGAAAGAGAGATTGGAAGAAGTCAAAGAGCAAAAAATCGCGATGTCAAATCCAAAATTGCGAACATGGTCAATTAATAAACGTTACTAATGCAGAATATTTAATCACTGTTTCCGAGGGCTTTGTCGAACAGCCGACGCCACTTTCGTGGGTCCAAGTGGAAAGGGCTGGAGGGGTCAGAGCACGCAATTCACTAGTCTTGGCGAGCCTTGATGCATTTCTGTTTTACCACCTTTTCATCGTTCTACAGTATCGAAATCAGAAATGATATGAGACATAAGCAGCATGTACGAGTAACGTAGACGAGTGTGAACGTCCAAATCTTGGCTTGGTGGAAACACCCATCGGCTGGGTCTCTTAAAGTGCGCGTGAGAGCATGGATCTATGGACTGAAGCCAGCGGTCCCATATCTGACTGATAGAGACGCAATAAAAACCGAGACTCGAGCAGGTTGCCAAACATAAATGTGAGGAACAGCGGTTGACGGTACAGACAAGAGACTTTAAACCACCGAACACTGCCTTTACAATAGCAATTTACAATCTCTCGACATCACTTTCCGAATCAACATCCACGTTAACTAACAGTAACAAAGAGCACATCTGGGCAAAGTTTCCAGTTGCTTGATGCCCTTCCCTTGCCTACAATGTCAGTGAAAGTCGTCCCAAAATTTGACTACCATGAGATTTCTCCACGTGGAAAGGATCTAGATTATTCCGGGCATCGGAATATTATTTCGTCACACGTGCAAAGTGGTCAAACGTGCAAAGTGGTCAATTGGTCAATTGGTCAATCGGTCAATTGGAAAACTTTCCGTCGTCGACCAAACACACAGAGTCATTTCAGTGCAGGGCGATCTTGACATTTGGCTGAGAAGACGAACACGTTACAAAAAGCCTTTCGAAGGATGCATATGTTTAGGGACCTGCATGGGTACCTTAATGGGTTTGCCCCTGGGGTGGCATGCTCGGCAGTTGACATTACACAACCCCCGCGTCTGTGGACCCCCAACGAGTACTTTATCATTGTACGGTAGTGCAGTGCTAGAATACCCCACGATAATGCAGCGCACTTCCTCCCCACACCACCAACATCGTCATCCTGATGTTCAGGAACAACAGCAACAGCAACAGCACACGACCTTCCGCTTGCCCATATCCTTCCATTTCAGATGCTGATCAGAATAAGCAGCTCTTGACCTGACACCTCACTTGGCCAAGTGAGAAGTGTTCCGTCTTTGTCTCGTTAGATCGTCTATGTGTCAGCCTCTTACATCCCAGTCAAATTTCTCTTCTTTCAATTTACTCCATCAGACGGTCAATTCTTCCAGATAGCTACCGCGACTGCTTCCTGGTGTTTTCGTTACCTGCCGATACTCCACAGCCTGAAGACACCCTCTATTGGTATCTGACGAGCAGAGATTCCTGCATTTTCCAATGGGGAGGCCTCCTTGATCCTGATCTATATGGGAAGCTCGTAGCAATCAATGAATTAGTCTCGCCTGCTACCGACTCACTAAGACTTCTTGCCAATGCTTAGCCAAGTGCATGCTCAGGCCAACATGGCTCCGCCAACGCGAGAGGTTGCGTCCCATGCTCCCGTGCAGCAGTTCGCCATGCAGCACTTTGATGCATTCTCCGACTCGAAAGAGGTGTCACCCATGAAAAGCCCCATAAACCTAAGGCACCATCCTTACAGCCAGAACAACACGGAAGTCCGGCATCAGCATAGGAGAAGCTTAGATCTAGGCGCGGTTGGGGACAGTAAGAGTACGAACACAGCACCGGTAAGACGAAGGATCAGTAGAGCCTGCGATCAGTGTAATCAATTACGAACAAGATGTGACGGACAAGAACCATGCGCACACTGTTCAGAGTTCGGTCTGAGCTGTGAATACATGCGCGAGAGAAAAAAGCGTGGGAAAACGTCACGAAAGGACGCGGCTCAGCAAGACCCGGCAGCTAATGCCCATTCGCCCCGTGAATATTCATCGGAAGGTCCCTCTCCCACCCAAACGCAGAATGGCCACGAGTTTCAGTCTGCCGGGAGCCAAGCACCTCCTGCTGATGGTGGGCCTCGGTTTTCAGGGTCTCAATCAGGCAGCATGTCTGCAGTCAGACCTGAAAGGTCAGCCATTGTTGATGGGCCCTACCAATTGACCAGGAATGATGGCCTGGCACAGAATCAAGAGCAGGGTTCTGGAAACCTATCATATCCTCAGTCTTCTATACGCCAGGGAACAGGGGCTAGTCCGACAGCAATGTCGTTAAATGGTTTCAGCCTTGGTCATGACTATGACCGCCCTGGTATCCGTGGAGTCACTCCTTTGACTGGCCCTCAGTCGAACGGACTGTCCATGAGCCAAATGCAGCCTCAAATGCCATCCCAACAGAGCTTCCAGGGCTTTGGCGAGAACGCATATCCACCAATAAGCCCACCTAGTTTGCAAGCCCCGAGTCCAGGATTTCGATTCGGTGCTACGGGCGAAAGTCCGCTCGCCGGATTTTTCGGCACATCTCCCATTGTTGGGTCGCCAGGCTGGCTGAACCTGCCCTCTCCTTCGAACTATCAAAACCATCATCGTCGTCTAAATTCCATACACACGTTGAGATTCCCTGTCCTGAAACCCCTGTTGCCATACATAGAGTCCATAATACCCGTTTCGCTTGCCTGCGATCTGCTTGAGCTTTATTTTACGAGTTCTTCGACTACTCACACGCATCCTGTTTCACCTTACATTCTTGGTTATGTTTTCCGAAAGCAATCGTTCCTTGATGGAAATAGGCCACGCGTATGCAGTCCAGCGCTTCTTTCAAGTATGCTTTGGCTTGCAGCGCAGACTAGCGATTCTCCTTTTTTGACGTCTCCACCGTCTGCACGAGGTCGAGTTTGCCAGAAATTGCTGGACATAACGATAGCACTCCTAAAGCCACTCATACACGGTCCACCCGCTGGCGATGTTGCAGCCACCAATGGTATGAGTTCCGTAATCAACGGCGTCGCTTTAGGTGGCCTCGGCGTTGCAATGACAGGCGGAGATCAACGTAAGTCTACTTTTCGGATTGTTATGCCCCCAGTGCGAACCGCGTTGAGTCATAAGACAATGTTCTGGGAGTAATTGTACTCTTTTGACATTTCCCCCCCTCGAATCTTTACTTAGAGGAGGAATGCTGACTCCGAAATCTTGAAGTCACAGCAGATGGCGGAGCTATAGGACTACTCGACAATGTTGCTACATATATCCATCTCGCAGTCATCGTATCAGCCTCCGAGTACAAGGCTGCCAGTATGCGGTGGTGGAATGCCGCCTGGACATTAGCTCGTGAACTGAAGCTTGGGCGAGAACTACCAGGTGCAGTAGAAAGCGATAACCCTCGCGGCGATGACCTGAGTGCGGATGGCATTGCGGATGGCACTTCTCCCGAGCAGGCAACGGTGAGAGCGAGCATGAAAGAAAGCCTTGCAGCTAGTTTACCTGGCGTCCCGAATGAAGAAGGGAGAGAAGAACGCCGTCGCGTATGGTGGCTCCTCTACACTGTGGATAGACACCTAGCACTCTGCTACAACAGACCATTATTCTTGCTAGACGTCGAGTGTGAGGGTCTCCTGCAGCCATTGAACGACGGTGATTTTCAAGCTGGCAACTTCTACAGTAGTGATCCGACTCTCTCTCCAAGCTCGCAGCCTTACAGGACACGGGGCCCAAACTTTCTCTGCACTGGACACAGCATCTTTGGTTACTTCACCCCTTTGATGGCAATACTCGGCTACATCGTGGAGCTCAACCAAGCCCGCAACCATCCAAGGTTTGGACAAAGCTCTCGCCACGTCGGCGAGTGGGACGACCGAGCTGCTGAGATAACCTCGCAACTCGAGGCATATGGCCACAGTCTCAAAGAGTTTGAGGCCCGCCATATCGATGAGTCGAACATCCTTGACCGTGCCGGCGCTGACACGTGCGCCCCCATCAATTCCGTCCATCCTGGCAACTCTCGAATCACCGACGCCATAATTCAAACAAGAATAGTCGTCGCGTACGGAAGTCATATAATGCACGTTCTTCATATTCTCATCACTGGCAAGTGGGACCCCATCAACCTTCTGGATGACAAGGACCTGTGGATCTCCACACCATCCTTCTCTAGCGCCATCATGCACGCTGTTGCGGCCGCCAATGCTATTAGCAATGTCCTAGAGTATGACCCAGATCTAAGCTTTATGCCTTGGTTCTTTGGCATTTCTTTGTTGCAAGGTGGATTCCTCCTGTTGCTGATGGCAGATAAATTGGCTGGGCAGGCAGATCCAAACGTCGTGAGGGCATGCGAGAACATTGTGAAGGCGCATGAGGCCTGTATCGTTACGCTCAATACTGAGTATCAAGTGAGTACTGCCATTGACCTTGAATTGCTTCATCAAGCATGAATCAGTGGCTAATGGGATACCCTCGCAGCGGCATATGCGCAAGGTCATGCGATCAGCTCTCGCTCAAGTAAAGGGCAGATTACCAGACGGTGACCAGCAATTGTTCAGACGAGAAATCTTGTCATTGTACAGATGGACAGGAGATGGTACAGGGCTAGCTTTGTAATGATTTGCAACGATAGGATTGATTACCAAGGCAGATCAATGGACGTGGGAGGTGTGCGATTGTTAAATATACCCAGCTGGAGACTTTGGAAAAGCGGCATCGGTCTCATGTAGATGTGTATTGAATCATATGAATAAGAGGCTTCGGAGGAACATGTCGCTACTCCATGTACAACTCTCACGTGTTGACGCAGAAAAGTGCTACCTTCTCTACATGGAAAGGGATTTGGTGGCGAGCAATAAAGCCAACTTTCTGCCAGTGAGTATGTAGAACTTTCAGTTCTTTTCTCGCATTGGTCACATGGACTAGGGTTCGAGTCAACGAACCTTTTTCATGATGGCTCGGCGTGAGTCATCTCTGCTTTTATCAATACAGGGATTACAGCCCCTGTCGGCACGCGAAATTCACGATGCCCAGTAACCCTCAGAAGGGAAGCGATTGATCCCGAATGGGTAGTGAACGAGATGTACGTGTTGTCATCGTGGGTAAATATATCACCAAGCAGCTTCCTCATGCGGGTCTGGATTACAATTCCACAGTCAGTATTGCCTATCTGAGGGGGTATATCGAGCCTTGAAATGTTTCAAGAGTAGGAAGTTCCCCAGATATCACTCAAGTATGGGTGCGGAGAATACGTACATCATGAAGTGAGTTACTTTCTCGAACTTCCGGGCGCCACATCTCATCGTCTTCGGCGAACCCGGGCTCAAAGGTGTATGCTGGGAAGTTGGTGTGGATGTAAGTTTTTTTGCTGCGCCGGTCACAAGTATGGATCCCAATTACTTCGCGAAGCAGTTCTTTGACTTCTGGGACGCAAGGCTGCTGAGCTGGTAATTGGAGGCCATTGAAGGTAATATTGGCGGTGGCGAGGCACCTGTCAAGTGGGCTCGTGTAAAAACTTTCTGGCACTGGTATATGTTGTGTTGCCATCTCCAAGGCCCAGAATTTGTTGGCTATTCGGGCTTGCTCTATGCCTTTCTCCGTGAGATGTGCGTCGGCCCAAATGACGGTATCGTTTCCGTCTTGCTTTGACCAGTAGCTCTATTTGCGTACTAATCAGCGTTTCCCTCTTGGTGTGTCAATCTACGATCAGAAGGAAGAAGCGCACATCCCAAGCCGAGGTTCCATAATAATTCTCAGCTACGTTGTGCACACCCTCACCATGGCGCCCCTGTCGAGCATATTTAATTCGAACTTCAATTTTGACTCCCAATAGGGGTTTTTGGATCATACCATGTAGATGACCTTATACCGAACACTACTGCTAGCTTGAGAGTTCAATTCGGAGATTTGTTGGTAGAATCGCTCCCACTGGGTCCTCTTCTTTTCCGGATCGTATTCCTTGTCGGTATTGTATGCTCGCTTGATCAGACCGAAATCAGATGCTGCCTACCAATGGATCAGCCTACTGGCTCTGTGACGAATCTACGCATATATTGTTACGTAGTCGAAACTCTTAGCGTCTGTGCTAGACTCGTCCTGAAGAAAGAAGCCGGGCACAGTTGTGTACTTGGTAGAAGGAGTCTGGTTCATTTTATGCAGAAGGAAGAGGGTGAGTAGTCCGAACGACAGAAAACAGCTATGTGCAATTCTAGCTCAGCTTGGAGAACGTCCCAGACGCATGAAAGTAAAAGACGTACATGAAGACTCTTATACTACTGCAAAGCCTGTTCCAAAAATTCTTATTCGTCAGAGGAAAAGCAAGTCCGTTTTTAGATGTTAAACCAAGCATCGAGCCATTTGTTTATAGATTTTTCCCTCTCGTTGCGCGAAACAGATAATTACTAGGTACTCGAAACTAAACATGCCTTGTACGTCGGCAGGTCGGTGGTCGGTCAAAAGTATTGCCGAGAGAACGAAAGGCTGAGCCGCTCAGACTACCGCCGGGCGCCGAGACCACTTACACTCATTGAACATTGAAGCTTGAAGCTTGAAGCTCGCAGGTGACCTTCAACCACCAATATTAGCATACCGTCAGCATGGACGAGAAGAGCGCAATGGAAAAAAGGTATGGCAGAAAGTCGCCTCTTCCATTGTACCAGAAAAAGCACGATTCATCATTCACCGCGCCCTCAGATATATCTCGGCTCCGTTCCCGGCCGGTTGTCTACATTACTGCTATCATCTTCGCCTTCCTCATCATCACATATGGCTTGCCCGTTCGACTTTCAACCTTCAACCCACAGGGTTCCCCTGAAACTATTAGGACGCAGCCTGCCCATGCTAAGTCGAATCGAACTGGTCTTGTGCCGCTCGAAGCACATGTTATGTCTAAGTGTCCAGACGCAAAACAATGCCTTGAGGAGCTTGTTGTCCCCGCTATGGAGCAAGTCGTTGACATGGTCAACTTTCGTCTTTCATACATTGGCAGCGTCGATGACAATGACACTCTCCGTAAGTAACATTTGGAGATCAAGTCCTGACTCGCGGGACCTGTCTCGGAAGCAGAAGACTCTTTGTAGCCTCCAAGCTTGTCTGATAACTCAGATTCCTGTTATAAGAAACAAAGCTGACTAAAAGATTCAAAAGACTGCATGCATGGCCAAACGGAATGCTTGGGCAATATGCTTTCTCTGTGTGCCAGTAACCTTTTCCCAAACAACGCCAAGATTTCGCTGGGTTTCAGTACCTGTCTGATCATGTCCTATAAACGCATTCCATCGCGAGACCTTGTCCAGTCCTGTGCCTTGGAACACGGCATTCCTTTCGAAGCCCTGAACGACTGCGTCAGCGAGGAGGGCAAAGGACTTGACCTGCTGGAGGCCAGCATCAAAAGAAGCCAGGAGGCAGGTGTCAAGAAGAGCTGCACAGTGAGTGCGCATCTCGGAACAAACCCTCTCTAGTCGAACCCTTGCTTTTAAGCCGCAAGACATGTCTCGCGAGCAGTAGGCGGGTTTCAACCCCAAACCTGTCTTGCAAACTGGGATTATTACTTCAATGAAGCCATGCTGACTCCGAAATGTGCAGGTGCGGGTTGCAGAAGAGATTTGGTGCATAATGGATGATGGAAAATGGACAGACTGTAAAGCAGGACACGAAGTCAAAGATTTGGTAAAGGAGATTGAATCGCGCTACAAACCGAATGCAACTGGCTAGCTGCATGTGTTGCTTCTGGAAAGTTGTTCTCAAAAGCACTTGATGGGATTAAATCATATTCTGCCAAAATTCCATAAAGTCTACATGCAAAGACTGAAAAATCTCTATATCTGGACCATAGTTCTGCCCGAAAAGTCATGCGGATCTGAGGTGAGTGAAGCGAACTCTGCTATCTCTTACCTTGGTTTCCACAGGTGACAAAGAGCTACGGGTGTTTCAACGGTCACTCACATAGCATGGACGTCCCTGAACAAGCAATTCTGTCCTGTCCAGAGAATTTGAGTTCTCAGCCTTCAACTTTTCCATTTTCAAAGAGGTCTTGGATCCTAAAGCGACGTGAAAATATCCAAGCCCTGTCGAAGCACGTCTGCCATTCTCCCTCACCATTAGCGATAAGCCCAAGGGCAAAGACGCCTCGAGAAGGATCTTTCGAGCATGTTGGGTTCTACAATTCGGAAACGCTCTGTCGTCGGACGGTTCTGTTCTCAACAATTATCCTTTGCCACTGAAAAAGCCATGGAAAAAAACTTACTCGTGGCTGATCAAGCGTTTCATCAAATCATCCCACAATGCGAAGCTCGTCTAGACTTCCTCTACGATGTGCTCTTCAATTCAGTCCTGTGGCTATGTCGACCAAGTATCAAGGAGCTAATCCGTTTAATCGCTCAAAAAGAGTCCAATTTTTCATCCTGGTGGGTCACTGGCAGAGACCGTTGCTTGGTATCCAATGATGGGCTCGCTAAGCTCACAGCCAAGGACGAGCCACAGTACCAGAACTATTCAAACACCAAAAGTCGGCGTATTTTGAGCAAGATAAACCCAGTGGAGCAGCTCCATCAAGGCGCCGTAAACACTTACTCTATCATAATTTGTCTAATATTGGAGCAGCGAACCCCATTTTTCCTCATGAGTATGCTCAACGCCAGCATCAGCGTAGCGCATTTTCCTGCTTGGTATCTGGTTCCCCTATAAGATCCTTTCCATGCCCATTGCACTTCTTTCAACTTTCAATCTTGTTCGTTCTTTACTTTCACGAAGCACACACTTTCGTTAATTGCTCTCGTCCAAAGCCGCCATGCAGCCCAGTATCGTGCTGGCCTTTGGGGCCCTGGCCTTAGCATCCGATGCGTATGCATTGTTCGGGACAGGCGTCTCGAATTCTACGAGCCCAACTTTTTTCACACCGTTGACTTACATACCCTGCCCTAGCTGTTCTCCTACAACGGTCCCTGCACCAGGTCCAACAGTGCCAGGGCCCAGGAAATCTGGTGTCAACCCTCACAACCATTTCACGCTCCCGGGGCCATCCCGCCTAAACAATCAAACTTCACCAGTCACCCCCTATGTTGCACCAACCGGCCACGTTCACCTCAGTACTGGCGTTCCATTTGTACCACATCCTTACAAGAACCACACTTCACCAGTCGCCCCTTATGTTGCACCAACCGGCCACGTTCACCTCAGTACTGGCGTTCCATTTGTACCACATCCTTTCAAGAACCATACGTCGCCAGTCAACCCACATGTGTATACGCCTTCAGGCCATGTTACGCCTTCAGGCCATGTTGCGCCAGCAGTCAATGCCTCGACCACAGTCACTAGACCCTGTTCCACTTGCCCGATTACTACGGTTTCCGGATCAAACTCGAGGGCGACTGTTTACAAGCCCTGCCCTACCTGCCCTCCTGTCACAATCCCCGGATCAGGCTCAGCAACGACGGTGTACAAGCCATGCCCCACCTGCCCTCCTGTCACAATCCCTGCATCAAACTCGACGAAGACAGTTTACAAGCCATGCCCCACCTGCCCTCCTGTCGCAATCCATGGATCAAGTTCAACAGAGACAGAGTACAGGCCTTGCCCAACCTGCCCTCCTATCAGAATCCCTGGATCAGGTTCAACAGAGACGGTTTATAAGCCATGCCCTACCTGCCCCCCAGTCACCATCCCAGGATCAGGGAGCGAGACGGTCTACAAGCCATGCCCTACCTGCCCCCCAATCACAATCCCTAGTGGATCGGGTTCAACAATTACGGAGTCCAACACCCCGGCAACACTCACTCCCCCAAGCTCAACTGAGACGACGACCATCACCAGGCTTTGCCCTACTTGCACGACAGTCAGATTCGTCACAGTGCATTCCGCAACCGTTACGAAGCCCTGCTCTACATGTCCTCCAAACACAATCACACCCCCAGCAAGTTCGACTGCGACCATCACCAAGCTCTGCCCTACCTGCTACCCAGTTGCTCCAGGACCGGCGACAGGACCGAATCACGTCCTAACTCTTACTAAGCTCTGCCCTACTTGCCCTGCAGGCACGGTGGTCATCAGTACCCCAAGTCACTCGACGGTGCCAACAGGACGTGCTCCTCTCGTATTTGGCCATCATCAGCATGTTTACACAAACTCCACCGCAAACGGTTTCGCAGCCCCGTCCCTTTTCGCCTCTGGCTCTGCTTTCAACACTGGAGTCTTCCGCACTGGAGCGTTCCCCACTGGAGTCTTCCGCACTGGAGCGGCCGGCACTGGAGCGTTCAGCACTGGAGCGTTCAGCACTGGGATATTTAGCACTGGAGTGGTCAGGCATGGATCGCTCAGCACTGGAATTTTCGGTACCGGAACCTCTCCATCGGTCGTCCTCAGCACCACCACTTCCAATGGCAAAGTCAGCGTTGAGACTCACTCTGCTGGTGAGGGTTTTGTCACCTCGAATGCTCCCAATGGCTCTGTATCTATGAAGACACAGCCTGCCGGTAAAGTGGTTGTTAGCTCGACTGCGTCCAACGGCGAGGTCACTGTCGAGACTCAGTCTACTGGCGTTTCTCTCGTGAGCCATACTGCGTCCAATGGTGAGGTCACCGTCGAGACTCAGTCTCCTGGTGTGTCCCTCGTTAGTCATACTGCGTCCAATGGTGAGGTCACTGTCGAGACTCAGTCTGCTGGCGTTTCTCTCGTGAGCCATACTGCCTCGAATGGTGAGGTCACCGTTGAGACTCAGTCTCCTGGTGTGTCCCTCGTTAGTCATACTGCATCCAATGGCGAGGTCTCCGTTGAGACTCAGTCTCCTGGCGTTTCTGTCGTTAGCCACACCGCTCCCAATGGCCAGGTCACTGTCGAGACTCAATCCGCGTCTCCATCCAATGGTGAGACAACCGAAGCCTCTCCTTCTCAGGCTGGCGAGACTCAGTCTGCTGGCGTATCAGTGGTCAGCCACACCGCTCCCAATGGCCAGGTCACTGTCGAGACTCAATCCGCGTCTCCATCCAATGGTGAGACAACCGAGGCCTTTCCTTCTCAGGCTGGCGAGACTCAGTCTGCTGGTGTATCAGTGGTCAGCCACACCGCTCCCAATGGCCAGGTCACTGTCGAGACTCAATCCGCGTCTCCATCCAATGGTGAGACAACGGAAGCCTCTCCTTCTCAGGCTGGCGAGACTCAGTCTGCTGGTGTATCAGTGGTCAGCCACACCGCTCCCAATGGCCAGGTCACTGTCGAGACTCAATCCGCGTCTCCATCCAATGGTGAGACAACCGAAGTCTCTCCTTCTCAGGCTGGCGCCGCCCAGGAGGCTGCCACCCAAGCTGCTGCATCTGGAAGCAGTTTCCCTGGCAGCAATTCCCCTGGAAACAGTAGCCCCAGCAGCAGCGCCCCTGGAAGCCCCAACCAGGCCGCCGCAAACCCCGCTGCAGCAAACAGCGCTTCCGGCAGCAACGTCTCCGGAAGCAGCTCTCCAAGCAGCAACGCCCCCGGAAGCAGCTCTCCTGGAAGCAACGCCCCTGGAAGCCCCAACCAGGCCGCCGCAAATCCCGCTGCAGCAAACAGCGCTTTCGGCAGCAACGTCTCCGGAAGCAGCTCTCCAAGCAGCAACACCCCTGGAAGCAGCTCTCCTGGAAGCAACGTCCCTGGAAGCCCCGACCAGGCCGCCGCAAACTCCGCCGCAGCAAACAGCGCTCCCGCAAGCAACGCCCCCGCAAGCAACGCCCCTGCAAGCAACGCCCCAGGAAGCGCAAACCAGGCTGCTGCGAATCCCGCCGTTGCTGCCCAAGAGTCCCAAGCTGCTGCCGCTGCTCAAGCTTCCGCCTCGCAAGAAGCCGCCGAAGCTGGTGAAACCCACGCTCCGAGTGCGACTAACGGCACGTCACCCTCCTCATCTGTCAAAGCCTTCCAAGGCGCTGCGTCTTCTTTCAAGGCCTCAACTGCCATCGTCAGCTTTGCTATGGCTGCTGTTTCAATTGTGATGTTTCTGTAATCGTTTTGAAAGTTCGTATGGGCCGGGTTGCCATGGGAGAATCGAAAAGTTATTGGATCTGAATACTTTAATACCTATCCTGTCAACACTTCACTTCTCCGAGCGCTTATACTTTGCGTTGTCTTTGCTGCTAGCGATATTCATGGTGAACGGTCATTATCATTCAGCCATAGAAGCTTCATTAGCAATCCAGGCCTTATTCTTGGGCCTCTTGTATGATGCGTAAGGTAGTTTGGACGGCATTGGGTTTGACAAGGGGTACATTCTTAGACCAATCAGAACAGTAATACGATCGTTTTACAACAACGCTTTGTAACGTTCTCGTCTCCAAACTTTTGTAGCCAGTATCGATGTTGTAAGTCACAATAAATTAACACCACAGAGCGGAGGAGTATTCGAGCGTACAATTCCTCGGTCAGTCAGCATGGCTCGCATGGATGATTTTTAGCCGGAGGTGCCGAAGCAAAGGACCCGAACACATGTTTCTGTACTTTTTTTTCCCGCCTCTCGTTTCTACCACAAATCACTCTCACTTTCTCCGGCATAGAACTTCTCTCTCTGCTTCTTCTTCTTCTTTTTCTTCTTCTTATTCTTCCTCCTCCTCCTCCTCCTCCTCCTGTCCTCTTCTTTTTATTTTTCTCCAAAGTAGGCCGTCAACATGGGCTTCCCTGCTCGCATTTTCCGCATACCGCGACCCAAAGTCAGAACATATCTCCTGTTCCCCGCCTCTAACATGTCAGCTAATGCTTCAGCCCAGACCTTCCTCTACCTAATGTCCCTTCGGACCGGCACCGAACTTTCCACTTTGTCGCTCCTACTTAACAAAGTCTCTGGCCTCTATGGCCTCCTCGCCCTTCTGACCGGCCTTCACCTCTCTCCTCTCCAACTCTCCATGTACATCTACTCGCTTTTCGCACTTCTCATTACAATCCTCCTAGCGCCTCATATTCGAACACAGAGTCCCTTCCACTGCCTTGCGCTTGCTACATTCTACATACTTGATAGTATCATAAACGCTGCTTACACGGCCGCATTTGGCATAACGTGGTTTCTCGTCATTTCGCAGCACCATAGCGATGCGAATGGAGCCAAGGCGCCTGGCGCTGGCGGCGAAACGATTGGTGATACAGCAGGCTTTACGAGTCCCGAGTTCAACGTCAGCCATGTCGATGTGGCTGTAGGACCGGACCAGGGCGTCCCTGGTCATAAGAATGAGGCGGTCACTTCAGGCTCTTTGGGATCTCCGGCTGCTACTGCAGCGTCACCGAGCCTAGGTCATGGCGTGCTGCAGCCGGAAAGTATTAGTAGCATCGTTGCCATCTGTGCGCTATGGGCGATTCGAGTCTACTTCGTGCTCATCGTTATGAGCTACGCACGCTTGGTACTACGGAGGTATGTGGCGTCTACCTCGCGGACCGGTATCGGGAGCAAGTTATCAGGGCTCATAGAGGACCCATTCGCCATACACCTGCCCGAGGGCAAAGGTTGGAGGGGTAGGCTAGGGCGAGTAATGATAAGTGTGGGAAGAGGATACTGGTTGGGGAGCGAGGAGGGTGATGATGCATGGATGAACGACGAGGTGGCAATGGGTAGGATGAAGAGGAGAGAACCAGCCCAGGGGGCTAGTGATGCGCCTGGAGTCGTAGAGCGAGAACGCCGAAGACGCAGCGGAACTGGGCCTCCGCCTCCAATGCCACAATTACAAGGAGGACAGGGGCAACATTTGAGGGTCCAAGAAGTGAGAGACGGGAAGTAAAGATGACTTGCGTCAGCCGCCTGGAAATTTTCAAACTTCCTGTCGTGGTTGATGTTATTCTGGGACTCAGGCGTTGCGGCAATGAGGGCGTTTTCCAAAGTTCAAGCCAGATCTTTCTTCTCATGAAGTCGATTCCAAAACCGCTGCACCTTCGTGAAAGAAATTTACCAGCGGAGGAGACGACACGACGCCAATTACTGATGAGAAGCACAGGCATTATATAATAACAATACATAGTGCAGTGATCTGTACTGTTTACTGGACTGCTGAGTATCTGCAGACTGGATGAAAAGCTAGTCCAAACAACGCTTGCTTCTCATGTCCCATTCGGCATGCAGCGTTGGACCACCCAAGCCGAACGCCATGCCAAAGCAACATCGAATGCCAACGACCAATGATATACTATAAACCTTGGTATCATCACCCGCTATTACTATGCATAATTCTCTTGCAATTAACCATCTTCCCGACCTCCACTAGCAAGCGCATCCGTCGTTGCCCTCTGGTTTCGATGGGTTGATATTCACATCGATCACTGCGCTATTGTTAGCCATACATTGTCTTATTGTCTTACCGCTTGGGCATTCGAAATCTCTCGGGCTGAGCTGTTTCTGGCGCTGGGAGAACGTACTCTGACTCTCCCCTCCCGCCGCTCCACCCTCTCCTTCCATGCCCGGAAGTGCCTGAGCAATCCTTCTGAAAAGTCCCTTGACATTTGCTCCCACCTTCGCACTAGTCTCCACAAAAAGTGCACCACATCTCTTCGCCTCCTCCTCGCCCATCTGACTGCTGACCTCCCTCTTGTCACCCAGATCCGTCTTGTTTCCCACTAGCACAATAATGACATCTTGTCCCCTTTCGCCTCTCACATCGTCGACCCATTTTCTCGTATTGTGGAAAGATTTGAGATTTGAAATATCGTAGACGACTACTGCGACGGAGCTGTCACGGATGTATGAGGGAATTAGACTGCGGAACCTTTCCTGGCCAGCGGTGTCCCATAATTGCAAGCGTACAGTCCGGTCTTCGAGGTACATTGTTTTAGAAAGGAAGTCTATGCCGATGGTGGCTTGGTACATGTTGTCGAAGGAATCGTACATAAAGCGGGTTATTAAGGATGTTTTGCCAACTGACAGGGAAAGCGCATACATTAGTGACAACATTTCTGCAATGGACTCGGACAAGTCTTACCACTTTGTTCGCCCAGGAAGACAAGCCTACAACATCGTCAACATTGCTCGAAATACAATGAGGCAGCAACAGGGGACTCACTTGAATTTCTTCAAGGGATTCGAGTACGAGCCCACGGTTGATTGCGACGCCATGATGGCTAAAATCGAAAAGAAACGAATTAATTAAAGAAGACAGGAGGAGAGGCAGCGAAGAGAAGACAAGAGAAGAGAAGAGAAGAGAAGATGATGCTTTTGGTCGTTCAAACAAAGACATTGATGGGTTCCTGGACTCGACGGAACATTTTGTCGGGCCGGAAAGGCGCTAGTGATCCGCTACAACTTGCTTTCCACATTGATGCGATTAAACAGTTGTGCTGGTCCTGTAAGAACAAGATTCTATCCTTAAGACGTTACGCCTGATTATGGGACCGTCTAAAGAAGCGCCTCAGCAGCACAAGCAGCCGTCCCGCAAAGGCAAAAAGGCTTGGAGAAAAAATGTCGATGTGACCGATGTACAGGCCGGTCTCGAGGATGTACGACAGGAAGTGATCAAAGGGTTGGTACCATCAATTGTAAATATAGCTGGGTCTTGAGTCAGATCTGACAGAATTACAGTGGTATTATAGCCGAAAAGCCTTCTGATTCCCTCTTTACCCTAGACACCAAAGGCTCGGAAGCCATCCAAAAATCTTACAACAAAATCCACAAACCCCTCAAAGCGGATCAAATCCTTGCTGAACGTTCTGCCACTCCGGCTATCGATGGTCGAAAACGTTCTGCAGTAACCGATGGAGTACTTCAGCCCAGCACTAAGAGAACGAAGAATAGTGTTAGTTCTAGAGAATACGAGCGGCTTCGAGAGGTCGCATATGGGAGCCAGACTGTCAAAGACATCATCAAGAACGATGGCGTGCCTGATCATGATCCATGGGCCGTGAAGCGATCGGAGGCGGACGAACAAGATCCCAAGTTTTCGTACCTGGACAAGACGAAGCCCATTAAGGCCCCGACTACATTAAAGGAGGCACCCGTCTCTTTAATAGCAGGATCACGCAATGTTCCTGCGGTAACTGCGCCGAAGTCTGGAACAAGTTACAACCCAACTTTCCAAGAGTGGGATGCCCTGCTCGTAGCCGAGGGCCAGAGAGAGGTTGAAGCCGAGAAGAAGCGTCGCAGAGAAGCAGAGCTTGAGCAGAAGAGACTGGACCGCATAGCTGCGGCTGAAACCGAGCGAGAAATTGACATACAGACTGAGGATGAGTCGGCGTGGGAAGGGTTTGAGAGCGATTACGAAGGTGCAGAGAGGTTGAAAAAGCGTAGGCCGGAGAGGAAGACGCCGGCCGAGAGGAATAAAGTGAAGAGGAGGAAAGAAGCGGAGAGGAGGGAGAAGTGGGAGAAGCAAATGAAGGAGAGAGAGAAGCAGCAGAGACGGATTGGGGAAATTGCAAGGCAGATGAAAAACGAGGCGAAGGCTAGAGCTCTGGTGAAGGCCGAGCTTGAGAAGCCTGAGGACGTGGATGACCGGGTACTGAGACGGAGGAGGTTTGGAAAGGACGCGTAAGTCAGGTTAGGTGGTATACCCAACAAGTGTTGACGATTTGGATAGGCTTCCAGAACCTCCATTGGAGCTGATCTTACCGGAGGAGCTGCAAGATTCCCTGCGACTGCTCAAGCCAGAGGGTAATCTACTCAAGGATCGATTCCGAAATATTCTGGTCAGCGGTAAGATGGAGACCAGAAAGCCAATCCAGCAGCCGAAGAAGAAGCGTGTATCGTATACTGAGAAGTGGTCATACAAAGACTGGGATCTAGTTACATAACTGACGCTTGGGTGCGGCGGCTGACAGAAGGGTGCTGTCTCCACAAGACAGCTCTGAAGCCAGTGGACATGTAACAGAGACATAGCCAGGTTTTCGGATCAACACTACGGTACATAACAATATCCCCTCACTTTGGTCCGTAGGCTCCAAAAGAACGCATGTTTCCCCCACAAAGATGAAGAGACGGACCTGATTCTGGAAAATGGGCCTTCAGCGACTGTATAGGGACACTTTTTGTTGCTGAAAATGCCGAAAGGTCGCAACAAGGTTACGAAAGGTCAAGTGCACGAGGAATACCGAGTGAGATGGATTTTATTTAGAGACATGTGCACCTTTTTATAATGACCTCCATAGAAATCCCTCCAACCAGTGGAACACTCATTAACAACACAAATACAACTGCTTTGGTGATAATGTTCGTGGAATATAAATTTCATGGTCTTGGATCTTGAATTGACATAGCTGTCAATACCTTGAAGGTAAATATCTGACACTGACGTTAAACGAGGAATCAAGACATCTGTGACCGTCAAAGCCCATTAGCTTTCGATTTTGTGCCAAGACTCCTGTAGACACTAAGGTAGTCAAAGCCAAACCAACCTAAGAACATCTTGCGTTCGAGTCACTCAGACATCAACACAAGGCGAGCTATCACCATATCTTCGGTGCTCATCCAGCCCTCACTCAACGTACCCTGCCGACACCGAATCTCACTACGTATGTCATCTATCGACCATGTACCTGAGCAGGAAACAGCCGACGCACCGGCGGAGCAGATAGCAGTGGATGGCAGTATTGGCTCAGATACCGACACAGGCGGACCTCCTCAGTCAGAAGCTACAAGTAAGGATGAATCAGATACTAAGCACCATGCTCGATCCAACTCTGTCAAAAAGCCTGCAACATTCAAGGCGGTATCAGTTACGAAGAACTTCCTTGCAAAAGCGGGCACGCCGACCGCGTCAGCTGCCAAAACCAACGGCGATAATGGTGACACACTACTCTCCAAATCTAGAAAATGGAAGCTGATAGTCAAAGCTACAAACCCAGCGATCACGGGCAACACCCTTCCACCAGCACCCCGACCCCGGCTCGTCGCTAAGACCGCAAGTGGAAACAAGGTATCAGCACCCAAGCCTTCGCATTTCGGAACTAAGCACGGAGCATCTGGTCCAGACCCAATGCAAGTATGGAACAGGAACAGAGGTAAGATGTACCCTGGATAGCTAGCCCATTCGCCGATTCTGATACGATTTGTAGCCGCCCCCCAACCAGCACAGAAGCACTTTACGGACGAGGAGCTTAAACAGCAGTATGGTATACATCTCGCTACCCGATTGCAGGCGGATGGGGACGGTAAAGAGTCTAAATGGGCGGATATCGATGACGATGAAGATGATTGGGCGCCGGAGACGATTGAATGGAACGATGGCACCAAGATAACACTATCACAAAATGACTCCGCTGCCATCCTTGCAGAGGAACAAGCGGCAGCTTTGATAGCAAAGGAGCGGCAAGCCGAAGAAAACAGGTCTAAGATGTCTGCGCAGCAGATGCCCACCACTACCGTTGGGCCAAACGCGACCGTATTGAAGCCTCGTTCAGCTGCGCAACCCAGGTCTGGGGGACTTGTCCTGAAAACACCTTCAGACAAGCCAACATTGGTCGCGAAGCCTGCCGCACCGGCGCCTGTCAGGTCTCCATGGGCATCATTGCCCCCCGTTGAAAAGCTTCCTCCTGTCGACATTAACCCTCCAAGCCGTCCTTCTACATCTCGACCGCCACAGAATGATCCATATGGAAATAATGCTTTGCCTCCGCCACCACCACCACCTCAAGTAGCCATGGAAATTGCTGCAGACGATTTCACCCGCACAAGGCGGGATACTCAAAACGGGAATCTCGGACAATTATACAATGCGCAATCGGGCCAATATGAGCCAGCCAATACTGGTCGCCGAGGATCTGTTCGGAAAGATCAGAACTTCAGGCCACCGTCCCTACTTCAGAGAGGCTCAACGCACGACCAGCACGGTCCTGCAGAACCGTCCGCTGCTTTTCAGACGCATCGATCCGGAAGTCAGCAGGATGGCCCCCCTTGGACTCGGCGAGGTTCTTCCACTGTGAGCGGAGATAGTGGACCTCAAGGTCGCAGAACATCGATGAATAAGGGAACAGACCTGCCGAAAATACCCCATGACCTGCTTCAGCAGCGCCGAGAGTCGCAGCCCTTACAGTCCCCGTCAACTCCTGGCTTTGGACCAAACCAAGTTTCACAGCGCGCATCCTCTCCAGCTCAGCAACTACCCCACTCAGCCGTGCAATCTCCTGCTATGCAGCACTCTCAACTGTCACAAGAGCCTGGCTCTGCTACCGGACCACCATACCAAAATAGGAGCCTTGCACCTGAATCTACTGTTCCTAATACGCGTGACGATGTGGCCGCTCAGAAGCAGCTTATGAAGGAAAAGCGAGAATTGGCCATAAAACGCAAGAAGGAGGAAGAGGAGCGAGAAGAGGCGGCAAAGAAAGAGAGGATCCGGTTGAAGATGGAGAAGCTGGGGTTGCCTCCCTTGGAGGAGAAGAAGGAAGTAGAGAAGACAGCAACCGAAAAGAGAGGTGCTGAGTCGGCCAAGGTTGGGCAGAAGGAAACCGAGAAGCTGGAGGCCACGCCAGATATTCGCCAAGCTCCTTCGCAGCTGCAAGAAGCATCCCCGTCTATGCCGCTTTCGCCACCCAAACCGCCAGTGCCTGATGCGTCCGGAACGCCTCAGCAATATGGGATGATGAGAGTGCATGGTACCCCCTCAAATAACATACCTCAACCTGGTAGCGAACGTCTGGTCGTGGAGAAGACTAGGGTTCAGGCTCCAAGTCAGCTGATCTCACCGCCGGGTCTAGAAGCCAAAGCTGAACAAAATGAGCAACTACCATCGCCAATGGTCAACGGGGTCCATAAGCAGACGGATCCTCCCTCTCAAAAATCCCCTCCTGATGTTCAGCATCTGGTTCGAGAACAAAGACAACCTTGGAACAATGGTTCAAGAGACAACAATGGCTATCCAGGCTGGAACGGACAAAATGCTGGCATGGCGCGAGAACAATCTGTGTCGAATAGCGTATGGGGCCCGCCGACTCAACACAGGACCCTAGGCAACGGTACGTTTGACAGAAGCGTACAGAGGCCGCAGTCAAGGCAGCAAGAGCAGTTTTCATCACCTGCCCTTGCACCGATAGGTCCTCCAAGGCACCTACAGCGACTGCGAGAGGTATCACATGCTCGAGCCAATGACATCAGCCCAACACCGATGGTTGAGGACTTCCAAACTATTCCTACTTTCCCTCCTTCTGAAGCTCCCACACCTCCGAGGAGACCCGGGATCACCAGTCGACCGACAAGTGGAGACCATCAGATCTCGCCACCGCAGATTGGCGCAGGGGCACAACCAAGATCTCACATTAGCAATACCGAAGGATCATCAAGCCGTCCAGAACTCCCAAAATCAACCTTAGCTGCCTGGGGTAGTTTCCACGTTGCAGATGCGGAAAAAAATCGTCAAGTTGCACAGCAGCACGCGGCTAAACTTGCGGAGGAAGCACGAACGGGTATACGACAGGAACCTTCGCTACCTGTTATGAACGAGACTTGGCGACAGGTCAAAGTCGATGAACACAGTGGACAGCGGCATATCATCGGTGTCTCGAGAGTCCAGAATGCCCACGGTCAGAACGTTGCTCCGCAGATCAACGGAGACGTTCGCAGTTCCTCATTCACTAATATGCCGGGTATTGCTCCTGCTATGGCAGCCGGCGTTGGTCGTGGATCGCGTTTCTTTCCTAGTGCAGGAAGAGGCATTCAACCGCATTTTCAAGGAGTTCCACCGTTCTTGCAAGGCTATGCTCGGTCCCCGTCACCTCCACCACCGGACAATGACATTCATCCAGTGTTTACAGGTGACCGAGGACGCCCACTGGTCAATCTTCCCTTCATGAAGGAAAAGCCAAAAGTGAGGCTACCGCCCTCCGTCGTGTCTCCAGCCCAGTCTCCAAAAATGGCAGAAGTACGAGTAACGCCCTTGCGCGCGGCATCGCAACCACTTGTCAATAATCCCTCGTGGCAAGATAGGTTCAATGGGCTCCTGGGTGTCAAGAAGACTTCGCCGGAGAAGAAGTTTGCTCATGTGGCCGAATTTTCTGCTACGAAAGTCCCACTGGACTCGCCGGAAGTCCAGGTCTCCGCATCTGTTTCACTTCCTCCCAAGAATGGTGAGACGACTAACCGGTCACTTGAAGTATATTCCAAAGCCATGGAAGATGAAGAAGCTCTTTTCGAAAACCGTGAATTTGGATCGCTTCCAGCTGTACTGATCCCGAGCAAAGCACCAGAGATTGGGTGGTCGCCTGCCAAGTCTATGAGAAGAGGCCAGTACAAACAGTCCAGATTGAGCAGGGAAGTCGAAGCTACCAGCAAAGAGCCCTTGATGATGTATAAGGAGCTCACCGCCAACAATGGAGTTCCCTTAATCTTTGTCAATTTGGCTGGCATGACAGCCTCGAAATCCGTGCCCTTACCTCGCTCAAACGCACAGAATCCAGGCCATGGAATGCAACGCCCACGGAACGCTTCAGGAAATATAAAGCCGGGCAAATCCTACAAGCCTCGAGATATTTCAGGAAGCTACGGCCACAACCCAGGTCACAACTCAACTCACAACCCAAGTCACAACCCAAAGAACTCCCACGGTGGACCTCAGAGGAACATCGCGCAAGGTGGCCCAAATCCACAGACACGACAGTCTAACAAGAATCATTCCGCTTGGGGCCCGCGTCCCACAAATGCGGTTCACTAATAGCCGCGACTGTTTGTTTTTTTCTCGATGTGGGATGAAAGACTCGATCCCTTGAATCCTTCGTGGGTACTCTCAAAGGGCCGGTGTCGGTCACCAAAACCTAACATGGGCCATTATCCCTCACTCTCAAACATTTCTTTCGCCTCTCATCACACGAGGCTCTCACGTGCGCACATCAGCCAGGGGTTTAGCGTGTTTGTTTTTTGGCTTTCGCCACAGGTGAAGGCGCTTACTCTTCGGCTGAGATTATTCGCTTCCAAAGGTACTCTCATGTTTTTCTCCACATACAAGGGGAAAGAACGGGTTAGTGGGATACAGCATTTGTAATTGCAGAAAATGCATGGGAACCAGAGTCTCAAATACAACTAAGCATGTGCACACTACTTTATACTGGGTCCCGTATTGGACAGCAAATTGGCTGATTCATGATTGTTTTCTCTACCCCCTGTCACTTCTCGCTTCGTCTTTTTCTGCCCTCTTTCCCGGACTCTACTTTCCTCTGCTTGTCCCACTCCTTTTGCTTTTTCAGAAATTCTGCCTTCTTCGCCTGATATCCCTTTAGAGCCCTAGCTCTATCCCACACTTCCTTGAAGACCCTGGAAGCCTCATCCTTCTCCTTCCATGCCTCAGAACCCTTCCATCCATCACCATTCCCATTTAGCACCTCACCGCTTCCTTCACCCGCTGGGCAATACTTTCTCCCCTCCTTGTGATTGGCATACCGCCTCGCGCGTGTCATGCCCATCTGTAGGAACTTACGCGCCATGTCCATCCCAACGAAGTCATCTTCGTTCTCGTAGTCCAGGAAGGCGGTCCAAAGGTCCGAGGAGGATTTTCGAGCCAATCCAGGCGTACGAAAGCGCCAGAGGGGGAGCAGAGCGGATTTGTAAGGTTCGAATGTCAGGACGCCGGTTTCGCCGCGCCCAATTCGATAGCGGGCCCAGGGGGGTTGACAAGAGATGGAAGCGGACGGGGATGTGGACATTGCGGAGAAAAGATATTGTATCTGAGGTTAGCTATTTTCGTCCGTAGCGCTTGGGGCTGTCATGGACGATGAAATCGCCATGAACTACTCCTGACGAGTACAGCTTCGCTGAAACAAGCCGAGGAGCAGTGTATTAGAGATTGAGGGACGCCTCGGACAGTAGTACTAGTACCTTAGTCACATGGTGGTACCGTACCTTAGTTTGTGTTTTGGAAACGCCTTGTAAGATTAAGGCTTAATCTTATCGATAAGCCCGGGTAATCAGATTCCCAAATTCAAAGAAACGCTCGACACTTTCTTAACTTTACCTACATACTTTCACGAGCAGTCCATCCCGATAAAGGAGCTCAGTGAACAATCAATTTATTCAGCATCAATCTGAGATCACATAGATGGTGCTCCTCCGTTTATTGAAAAGGACAGAAGACCGTTACCATGCCGAAGCCTACAAGACAGAAGACGCCCAAGGGCTCTGGGGCCAAAGCAGACGATCATATCTGTAAGTGTAAACGCCATTTAAAAAGAAACCCCGATTGACTCCTGGTCTCAGCCGATCCTCGATTCGCAAACATCCAGACAGATGCCCGCTTTCGTTTGCCGTCAAAGAAAAGTACTCATGTTCAAATTGACAAGCGCTTCGCGCATATGTTACGTGATGAGAACTTTTCAAGTAGAGCCAAAGTTGATAGATATGGGAGAAAGCTACCAAAGGATGCGGGTAGGAAAGAGCTGGAGAGGTATTATAGAATTGAGGATGAGGACAGCGAGGGTGCAGATGGGGAGCAGGGTGAGGATGAGGATGAGAAGATTCAACAGGAATTGGAGAGGGTCAAGACAGGAGATGAAGATCTCTCTTCATCCTCGGACGATAGCTCGTCCGACGGTGACGATCTGGATGAGGCGGAGGAAGATGAGGTGTTTGGACTCCTAGACCAGAATGAGGGCGAAGGCGGCATACCAAAAGGAGAGGTCTCGTCACGCCTAGCGGTGGTCAATCTGGATTGGGATAATATACGAGCGGCCGATCTCATGGCTGTTTTCTCAAGTTTCGTGCCCAGCAGCGGCCGGATTTCAAACGTTTCTATATACCCAAGCGAATTTGGCAAGGATCGTATGCATAGAGAAGAAATGGAAGGCCCCCCAAAAGAAATTTTTGGTCAAAGTGGATCGAGGGCCCTACAAGATGACCAATCGTCCAGCTCTGAAGATGGAGGCCAAGAAGAGGAAGACAAGGGTGACGAGGCAGAGGACGAGAGGATTAAGAACTCCATACTGAAGGAGGACCAGGGTTTGGAGTTCGACTCTGCGAAATTACGTCGCTATCAACTTGAACGGTTACGGTACTACTACGCAGTACTTACTTGCTCTTCAGTTTCCGTCGCCGAGGCCATCTACAACGCCGTTGATGGCACTGAATATCTCACAACAGCCAACTTCTTTGACCTACGGTACATACCCGATGAGACGGAATTTTTGGATGAGAAGCCACGAGATGAGTGTGCGAGGATCCCTGATGGCTACAGGCCCAACGAATTTGTGACAGATGCCCTGCAGCACAGCAAAGTCAGACTCACATGGGACGCGGATGACGGAACCAGAAAAGAAGCACAAAAGAGGGCATTTGCTGGCAGCCGAACCGACATCGACGAGAATGATCTTAAGGCGTATCTTGGCAGCGACAGCTCTGAAGATGAAGCACCTGAACCCTTCGTCGTCGATGCTACCTCTGCAAGTGCGGTCAATGGCGATCATATAGACTCCAAAACACCAAAGGGTCCTAAATTATCTAAGAAAGATGCGGAGCGTCAAAAGATGCGTGCACTCCTCGGCCTTCAGTCAGAACCAGTTTCATTAAAAAAGTCGAACGTTGAGAAGAACGCCCCTGTAGGGGACATGCAGATTACATTTTCGTCGGGACTATCATCAGAACCGAACAAGGGCTCCGTCTTTGAGAACGAGCCAGAGCGAGACGAGACTACAGCCGAGAAATATGTCCGCAAGGAGAAAGAGCGAAAAGCCCGACGGAAAGAGAAGTCCAAGCACAAGACAGACTCCAATGATGCAACAGCGGATCAGGTAGAAGAAGTTCAGCCATCTGGCGACCAGCCAGATGCAGAAGATCCAGCGACCCAAGATCTCGGATTCTCAGATCCCTTCTTTACTGCCCCCTCCCATGACAAAGCCACAACCACCGCCCAACGCAAAGCCGAGAAGCGCCAGAAACGCGAACAACGAGCTGCCGACGAAGCAGCCTCCGCAGCTAAACGCGCTGAGCTTGAGCTCTTGATGATTGACGAGAAGACAGGTGCTCAGAACATAAATCACTTTGATATGAACGAGAGCGCGAGAGCAGAGAAAGCGTCGAAGAAGAAGAAATCGAAGAAGCGGCTGAGCGAGAGGGAGAAAGAGGCGTTGGCAGTGAAGGAAAAAAGTGCTTTCGAGATGGATGTTGGGGATGAGAGGTTCAAGGATGTTTTCCAGAGGAGTGATTTTGCCATTGATCCGAGCCACCCAAGGTTTAAGGGGACGGAGGGGATGAAGCAACTGCTGGAGGAGGGGAGGAAGAAGAGGAGTTCAGGGGTTGTGGAGGACGAAGAGGATGGGAGGCGGGGGAAGAAGGCGAGGAGGAAAGAGGTGGATGAGGGAGAGATGGATGATGTACAGAGGCTGGTCAACAGGGTGAAAACAAAGACGAAGGGCCAGTAAACCGTAGCTTTGGAAGATTCACCTGGCTCTCCACCCAAATTTGTGTGTGACCATGACTTTTTCATGATGACGATAACCTTGCTTTGATATCCAAGACTCCACGCTTAAGATACCGCTCACAGTTCGCAAAAACACGATGGATCACCTCACCAATTCCACGTCCTCGAACTCGCCGTAAACACAGGCGGCTTCCACATGAGCCTGTCCGGCTCAATCCTCCTTCTCGCAATCCCCTTTGCTTTCTCCTTCGCCTTCGCCTTCTCCTTCGCCTCCAACACAGCCTCGGTGAGGACAATGACATGCTGTCCCTTGCTGTACCTCAGCATGTTCAGGTTTTGCAGTGTGTGCAGCACGTCGTTTGTCGTCATAGCGCTGAGTGCGCCTATCTCCTCTACCGAGATTTCACCGCTGCCTTTGCCGTCTCTGCTGCTCTTTTCATGTTCGACGAGGACGTCTGTGACGGTTTCGGCCCAGTAAGCGCGGTAGCCTAGGAGACCAAGATCGGAGAGCGGTTTTTCGGGTGATCCCAGTTTGGCTTCGCGTTTGGAAAGCTCGTAGCTGAATGCTATCAGAAGTTTCCCAAAGCCCTTTCTTTGGTATTGTGGTAATGTAAGGATGCAGGCTACATTGTACCCCTCGGCTGATTCCTTTTCTTTGCTGAAGTAGCCAACTAGATGACATCCGTGTAGATCGCGAGTTGTCATGCAGTAAAACAAAAAAGGATCGACGTCGTAGTAAAGTGTTTTGTGGTCTAGGAAGAGTTTACTGAGTAGGCAAAGGTTACGACACCATCGACGTTGCCGGCGGCCATCAATTTCGAAGAAAGATACCGAAGAGTCGCGATAGATTTCGTTTCCTGGAGGATGGAGAAGGGTGCATTTTGCACGATGCCGAGTGAAGGTCTGAAGAGAGGCGAAATAACTCAGACAGAATTCGCAGATATGAATAGTGTCTGCGGCAGTGAAGTTGGAAGGATAGGGCGAGAAATACCAAGGCTCCATTTCGAAAGCACCCATTTGAATACGGTCAAGATTTCGCACACGGGAGATTTCTGTTTGGTTCTGGGTCATGCTACCACCCGTGCGAAGCTTCTCAATTTCTTCTTCACGCGAGTAGGGAGCATTATGCTGTGGATTCGAAGCTTTGGCGGCAGCGGCAGCATCTTGAATATCAACGAGATCGAGCTCGGAATCTTCGCCTTTGGGGGTACCCGTAATGATTTCGGGGGCAATGACGGAGATGGAGTTGTCACTGCCAGGGCGGTTTTCCTTGCCTCCCACTAGGGAAGGCCGCACTGCTTTAGATGCATTGCCGGAGGTCGTACTTAGTTCTGGGGTGTCGGAACTCTTGCGGCTTGCGGCTGCTGTGGTGGACGTTCGCGGCCGTTTCTGGCCCGCGGTAGATTTGGGTAGAGTAGCGGATTTTGGAGCTGGAGCGGTTGATTTTTGGGATTTCTTGGTGGGGGCTTCGGGTTGTGGCCACTCGACTTCTTGTGAGAGGTCGAGACGAGATGCCGGCACCCATTCTGTGGAAATTCAGTGAGGTTATGATGATGGATGAGAGCTCGTGAACATACCATCGAGACGTTTGTTGAAGTCTTCGTAGTGGACGCTTAGTTTCGAAAGGTCAATAGAGCACTGACTTTTAGATATCAGATCCAACGTACTAGAAGGTAGGTTCTCCTTTCTTGCTTTCTTTTATTGACAAGATTTCAGCTTTCCTTTTCTCGCCATCCTTTTGGTGCAAGTTAGGATGTCAGCTGATTTGATTTTGTCTCCTGATGAGAAGAGGCTCCCGTGGAGTAATAGCACTTATACGACATGGAAGGCACAAGTCAAAATTTGGGGGATGGTGTGCGAGCCAACACAAAGGCACACGGTTCATAACTTAGGGATGATCAGAGTGGAAGGCCAAGCGGACTGTCGCAAAATAATGAAATTTCCACCCACTTTTCCCACGAAAGCCTTGACCCCGATCCTGAAAATTCATGATATTAGCAACTGAAGTGAAAACACCATGGATCATGAATATATCATCGATGCCATCAATTGATTGTATACCTCAAGGTGTTGATCGTCGCCATGCCCTTTTCCACCGTATCTGGTGTACTAGTCCGCTCTGGGGATCCATCTCTTGGTGCCATATTTGTCGCACGAGTTCTGAGTACAGTTTCCCTGAGTTTGAGGATGAAATAGTCGTGATTCGAATTTTGCTGGATGAATTCGTGTTCAAGAAGGTTGAGCTTCTTGCGACGTTTTCAGGTAGGTTGATAGGGCTGAGGCGGTGAAAGTTGTCTTTGAGTGGTACGAGTAAGGTATTTGCTCTTTCAATTTACGCTTCAACACACCACCAAGAGTCTATAAGACCGATATTTTACGGTAGCACGGTAGGTTGCCAAACAATTGCACCTTGTCTATAAAGGCAAGCTTGGTAAGAGTGATATTTGCGCGGGTCATGTGACTTGCATTAAATTTGCATTAATGCTCGGCCTGCAGGCCGCGGCCCCTCAGACTGCTCTGATGGAATCTACACCAATGCATCATTTCCGTAAACATCGTAGCCTCATGACACATAGCGCTCACACTTCCTAAACTCCTCGCTCCACCAAAGTACGGCAAACGCTTTTAGTAAGGGCCCCACCCGGTCACCATGGGATCAGCAGCTTGGCGGAGAGAGCTACCATTTTGGGAACTCTCGTGGCCGTTATGTGCAGGATCAAAGCCAAGCTCAATCCGTTCCGGAAGATGCTCTTTCTTTGCTTGTATAGCCTTCTGGTTTGCCCAAGACCGATAATTGACAAGGTCATAGAGTGTTGCTTTGGTACGTTCACCCTGGCTCAGTAGTAGGGCTTGATTGACCCGTTGGGCCACCTCTTGACGTAGAGCTGGATCGAGCAAGGCTGCCAGAGGAGGTGCGAGATTATCTGGCGGGAAAATAAGTAAGGCCATTGTGCGCTCAAGGTCCTCTAAGAATTCCTGATTCGTAGGGGCACGTGGCGCAAGATGTGTAGTAGCGAAGGTCAGGGCAGGAGTGATGTCGCCATCTGGGGTCGCCGTGGCTTTTCGAATGAGTTCGATCAGCTGTAGGCGCAGCAACGAGAAGTGTAGTGCCGAGTCTTGATCAAGGACCTTCAACTGTGATTAGCGTGTTCTCCAATAATGCTTGCAGTATGAAAAAAATTAGGTAACAGAGTAATGCTCAGACTGAAGACTGAAGTAGTTTGAGTTGTTTTCTCATCAACACCCCGAGGGGTCTATGAGTGGTGCATGAACAATATCTAATCATAGCAATGTTGTATGCGCCGAGCACACAGATGACGACGAGGAGCCTAGGCTTACTTGAGGATTCAACTCATTGATCTTCTCGATCGCACTCTGGATATCTCCTGATGCGATAGCTTCGCGAATCTCCACACGCTCCTGTATCGAGTCCACGTCCAGCTCCGGCTCTATGTTCGCTTCAAGGGCAAACCTCTGAGCAGCTTCAGGGTAGCCTTCGCTTATAAGGTACTCCATAATGACTGCATTGAGATCGCTGGGAGGAGCATACCCAAGTCAGCATTTGTTCGAACTCTGCCGAGTCGCGGCGAGACCGAGTAACAATGTGACATAAGCTCGAGGTTGGTAGGTTCAGAGGAACAAGTTCATAGGTTTTCCGCACGGTGTATCGGAGAGATTCCCAACTTGATTTTGGAGACATCATGGTAGAGAGAAGTAGGAGGGAAAGGCTGGAGTTTCTCATGACGAGTAGGGTATAAGCAGAGCAACGTACGTCTTTGAGAGTTTTACATCCTCGATAGCTTGCTCGAAGGAATGCCGAGGAGGGGTAGCAGTGGACGTTGTGGAAGAAGTCTGCGATTTGGATGGTGGTATTCAGTTATTGGGTGGTGCTTGAATCGTCGAGATTTGTGAGACATACCATAGCGGGTCTTCGAGCGGCTGTCATAGCCAAGGCATTTCTTATCCTTTCTAGCTCACGTCTAGAAGCCTCATGTATCGGCGAGGCTGGCATCAATATGTTATGTGGAAGTGTGGAGGAACAGGAGAGGAATTTAAGGCTCCAGTGGGAGAGTGGTGCCAGTAACAAATTTAGGTGGTGTTTGAATCCGGGTAGGGCTGACAAGCCTTTTGGGGCCTTTTGTAGCAAAGGTGATATAAAAAGTGGTCAAGATACAATCAATGTATAACGAATAGCTGAGGCTTCATTTTTGTTGATATGAGTTGTCCTTCAACCAAGTCTACCGCGTGATCAATACAATGGAGAGAGCACACTACTCGCCACCCTGGGCGGATACTAGCATAATCGGCATAGCTGGGAGCTCTGGCTCTGGCAAATCCACTTTGGCCCACAAAATTGTCAGTTCGTTGAATCTACCTTGGGTTGCCATTTTGTCTATGGTAAATAGAAATCTGTCGTAATATAAGCCTGTCCCTCATTGAACGTCTAGGACTCCTTCTACAGAGTCTTGACCCCTGAGCAACATGTTGTGGCACAGAGGAATGAATATGACTTTGACTCCCCAAGCTCAATCGACTTCGACACCTTGGTCGAACGTCTTCAAGATCTCAAGGCCGGGTAGGGCAATCTTCGGCCAGAACATTTCAGTATCACTCATATACTAATCTCTCCAAAGCCGTCGAGCAGAAATACCCATATATTCGTTCGAGCATCACCGACGTCAAGATAGCACGGAATCTCTTTACTCCCCCCATGTATTAATACTAGAAGGCATATTTGCCCTTTATGATCAGCGCATACTAGACCTGTTGGACCTGAGAATATTTGCAGAGGCGGATGCCGACGTCTGCCTTGGACGAAGAAGTATGTTCTGACCTGGTTACCCTTATTGAGGCTTCCAAGCTGATGCTAAAATCAAGCAAGTAACCCGCGATGTTAGAGAACGTGGTCGCGATATCGAGGGATGCATCAAACAATGGATGTCATTTGTAAAGCCAAACTTCGAGAAATTTGTTGAGCCGCAACGCAAGGTCGCAGGTAAGAACTGCTATCTGGGGACCGATAGGAAGCCGGCTTAAAATGTGCACGTAGATATCATAATTCCTGCCCGTCTGGACAACCGTGCGGCTATCGACATAGTGGTGGGACATGTCAAGCGGACACTAAAGGAAAAGTCGAGAAAGCACCAAGAAGAATTACAGAGACTCGGGAAACAGGTCGAGGACGAGCCCTTGTCAGAGAATGTTCTGCTTTTGGAGCAGACCCGGGAGATCGTCGGGATGAACACGGTTATCCAAAACCCAATGACCGCGGAGGTAGACTTCATTTTCTACTTCGACAGGTTATCTAGCCTTTTGGTCGAGAGGTAAGCAAATTTCACACCTGGGAAGCGCGGCGTGCTCAAATTTCGTAATAGAGCCGTGGAAAACCTTCACTTCAATCCAAAGGACGTACTAACACCCCAAGGTTATCATTACAAAGGCCTTGAAATGGCCGGCGAAGTCAGCGCCGTCGTGATATCCCGTGGTGGATCGTGCTTCGAGACAGGCCTCAGACGCGTTATCCCTGACTGCAAATGCGGACGACTTCTCATACAGACGAGCTATCGGACTGGCGAGCCCGAACTACATTATTGGAAGCTACCTTCTGATATTGCCTCACACGATAGCGTGCTTCTACTGGATCCACAGATGTCGAGTGGCGGTGCAGCACTAATGGCAGTAAAGGTGCTGGTAGACCATGGAGTTTCGGAAGAGAAAGTGGTCTTCGTAACGTATTTTGCGGGCAGGATGGGAGTGAATCGCCTATTGAGCGTTTTCCCCAACATGAAATTAGTTGTTTGCAAGATTGTTGAGGATTTTCAGGAGAGGTGGCTCGAGGAAAAATATTTCGGTTGCTAGGAACGCATTTTCTTCCTGTCTTGCGTGTCAATGTGAGAGGCGTGCAGCAGTGTGTGCGGGACGCGAGATTTATTTAGAGGGACAAGAGTGGTGAATGAGGGCCGCACAGATCTACTGAGAACAGATCCTGAGCCTTGCACCGCCAGTACAAAACGTCTTCCACAGGATTTTCCTGTAGAAATTCTCTAGCACGTTTGCTGATTTCGAGTTGGGTAAGCTGATCAGGGCTTGAGAGAAGTCCCATTCCGCCATCCGAAGGAATCCATGTGTCTCTGGTTCAAACCTAGACACCCGATCTCCGCCCTGACTTTCACGCTTCATCACTCCCAGAGCATCATTTCGCTATCTACCGCCAAGCCATCAGCCGCAGTATATATTTTATTGTCCAATGTCATGCCTGCATCCTCTCCATTGTCGTCGCTCACGTCTCCAGCATTGTCCTCGACCTGGCGCCCATCTTCGCCCAAAATTCCAATCCCAAAGACAGCTCAGTTTGCAACCACAACGCCATCTTTCATGAAGTTACCATTCTGGCTAACATAGCCATCGTCATCGTCTATCATTTCGTCGTACCCGTCTCCATGTTTTTCATTAGCATTGGTCTCTTGCGCGTTGGAGGAGGCTTCCACCCTTCCATCTCCTTGATGCTCAGAGCGCGCTTCCTCCTCTTGCCTATTCAACTCTGCTTTCTTCTGTCGTTGCTTCTTCTCGTCAATCATCTTGTACTTCCAATGGCACAATCCATTTTCAAAGATGCTTTCAAGATCATAGCTTTGAGAATTGTCAATGATCTCCAACGTTGGCCAATCTCGTGAAGGGGGCTTACCGCCTGTAGTCCCCAGACACTTCCCACTTCACATTCTCGAGATTTTCCGACAGGCTAGCTAAAGAGCCTGTTTCAAACTCGCCAAAGGCCGTCTTTGCGCCAAAATTTGGAGATTCTGCGTGAGCTTCGGCCCCTTGCCAAACCCTTGAGCTTTACCGAAGTCAGTTTTGGTGTGGTTGCTAAGGAAGAACCTTTTGGCATTCAGCAATGGCACTCCCCAACAGAACTTCTTCCTATTCTTGGTGGTCACTCTTACGAAGACCTCAAGGGTCTGAAGGGCTGTGCAAGACCTGAGATATATGAGGACGATGAAAGGCCGTGATTTCTTGTGATGATGCCATCGGATGTTTCTAAGCAGCCGACGTCCGCAGATGCCAATCTTCTCCAGGAATTCCAAGAATGGACGTATGTAGAAGAACTCAAAGCCGTTTTTGACTGGGTAGACTCTTAGAGACTCGTTCCAGATTTGACGGCGAGTTCCAGCGAAGGCCAGATTGCGCCAAGTGATGGCGTCTATGTAGAAGGGTTTTGTAATTTTGGTCTCGGCACCAATGAAAGTAGGCTTCACAAAGATCAAGGAGTACATGTTATCACGAATCTCCCGTGGGAAGCTGAGGACATTGAGGCCTTGGTCATCCGTGACTCTTCGTGCCTCTGCGTCTTGCCCCTAGATAACTAGAGCTTCTCTTGGGTGGGGATGGGATTGACGCCGTCATGACCAAAGCTAAGAGTCATAACCATCTTCGCTATTATTGAGAGATTATTTTGGCGCACTAAGCCTGGAAAGTAACACACCTTGTCTGGCAATGAAGCTCTGCCTCGAGGTGAAAGTTATAGGTCAAGTGAGGTTTGTAGACAAGATTCTTTCAATGCTTAAGCAAACGAGAATGACGTGTATGATGAACGAGATGTCGGAAAACTCTGAAGTGCTAATGTGCTGGGTTCTGTGATGAGTGGTATGCAGATAGGCTGCAGAAAGTAGATGTTGGCGGCAATCTGAATGAGTAAATTGAGAGGAGCTTGACAACTGTTGTATTGAGAGAGACATGAGAGATTTCCTCCAAACGAGACTTGTGACTGGTCCTGTATGGTAAGGGACTTGTGGAGAGCTCGAAGGCTGTGAAGAAGATGTCTTGCTGTATGATTTAGCTGAGTACAAGGAAGGGGAAGCAAAAGTGTAGACCTTTTCTGCAAGGAAGTTGTTTGGGGTTCTTGAATGCGGAAGGCAGACTCTAACCAATCAGAGCAGACGAAGCTTACTTTCCCTGACAGTTGTATCGTTCATTTCTTAAAAGCTGCATTGCAGACTGGCAAGGAGAAATTTGACTTCAAATGACAGCAATGGATATGAATTGAGTCCATGCTTGGTTTCGTTTGCTATCTACAACTTGACTCCTTTCAGTCATCCAAAGCCATCATTTTGTCGGTATCTTCTTGAGCTTCTTCGGGCTATGCATAAAGTTGTTCGCATAGGCTTTGGGAACAAATCTTCTCTCGTTAGGCTCCTGCACAAAGTATTCGTATCCTTGTTTCTGAGCAAAGTGAATGGCGTCTTCTCTCGATGCAAAATTTAGGTGTGTTCCCTGCAGATAGTCGGCAGAAGATTGCCATCCCATCAAAGGATTCTCCCACCGGTGTCCCTTCTGCAGTATGTCCCAATCCATACGCCAGTGATGACCGTGCCAGTCTCCAGATTGCGTAGCTGTCTTTGCGGGTCGGTATATACTATGGCAGTAGGAGTAAGCTTTGGCCCTTCATCGCCATAGTAGGAAGTAGCTAACCGGACTGTTCGCGCTTGCAAGTCTACTGGAGCTCCTGACAGGACTGCAGCAGGCGTAATATCTCCCGGTTCGCTACCGTTCATAACACGCTTTGGTATTGGGGAGAACTGTCTATGACAGACGGTAAGCATTGCTCTGTTTGGGAAACGCCGTTCGTGCTCACGAAGTTCCGTGGTCGATGGGAGCGTGGTAGTCTGGCTGATGGTCTACCATTGCCTCACCAGGATCCTGTTGTCTTATCATTGAGGAATCGCCCGATGTCGGAGATGGAGAAGTCGAGGCATCGGACTTTGGTGCTGGCTGTGCGGATCTATCTTGGTACTCGCCGCTGGATGTTTTGCTTGCCCATCTGATATGAGAAGGCGGCATCCGCTGGTGGGTTGCTATTCGAGCTTGAAACAGCCGACTAGCATACTGTGGCCGTAGCAAGGACATCTCGCCTGCGCTGACGTCCTCGGTGAGGCGAACACAATGGCTTGAAGGGTTGGTAGCCGTCATTTCCATTTGCGTTTTGCCCGTAGGGCTGAGACAGGCTTGGCGACAAACCTCTGCTCCGTTGTACTCCTCAACCAACGCAATCGATCTCATCAGATAAAACGTTCACAGACATTCTTCGGACTCAGCATTTATCGCTGAACTGAATCAAAGTATCCTGCCTCTAGGTCCACAATGAGCTTTATCGCCCGGCGTGGTCTCTCGACCTTGGTCCCACCAAAGGTACGCCTTTCTGTCATGTCCAATACGACGAACGGTTCCTGCTAATCGATGTTATAGATTGCATCGCCATCAGTGAGTCTCCAGCTTCTGTCTCCTGACTACTCGAACTGTCGGGTGGCTTGCTTCGCAGAATGAAGACCACAATGCGGCTTGAACGGACATCGCGTTTGATACCTCTTCTTCGACGGACAGTGTGACTGATAGCCTCCAATCAGGCAATTGGTGGAGCACAAGATGCAGCTCGTATGCAACGAGTCGTGAGCTTCTATGAAAAATTGCCTCGAGGTCCAGCTCCAGATGTCAATCCGAAGGGGTTGCTGGGCAGATATCAAGCTCGCTACTTCGGAAAGAATCCCTCTGCAGCTCGTAAGTCTTCGTCAGCCGCAGAGGCACACGACGGTACTTTCCTTTTTTCGCGGCTAACGTGGTGTTCTCCAGCCATCATCCACCTTATCGGCTTTCTTCTCGTTCTGGGCTATGGCAACAATTACTACTTCCATCTCCGTGTGTAGTCACAGCCATATACACCTTGAGAGTTTGAGGCTAATCTATGGCAACAGGGCATCACAAGAACAATGCGCATTAGAGCGTGAATTGGGTGGAGTTCCTTAGAAATGCATCGATGTACATAAGCTAGTCTCACACATTGCTGTACGTTGGCGCTCATCAGACTGCATGAGCCATAGAATCTGCGCATCTCCTGGAATTCAAACGCTGTGTCGTGTATCATGAGTCTGTGAAGCATGCTGCTTGTAGTACTTTTAGCATAGGCATCTTAAGAAATATTTTGTAACGTCTTTGCGCTAGCAGCCCTATCAAATTTGACATTGTGGGGATCTGTTCCTACTCACCGTCCTGAGGATCCACATCGCATACCCAAGCTTCCTCCGCGATTCCAGCATGCTATGATCAACGGCTCCGGTCCAGTCATGGAGCTTAAAGACCTCTCCACCAATTGGAAAAAGCTTCAACAAACTCTGAAAGCTGATACTATAAAGTCTCCAAAGCGGAAAGCCAGTGAAAGCGTCCTCCAGCCACATCGCATCGGCGTCAAATATCGCAAGATTGAAAGTGATTCGATCCCCTCACGAAACGAGAAAAGGGAGAAGTCGAAAGGAATGGGTTCTCGCTGGTCAAGTACGGAAGATGACAAGCCCTCCGCGTCGCTAGCCTTGTGGGCAGAAGACCATGATATCCCAGCCAAAGACCTCGCAGCAGCCTATGGAAGTTCGCTCAAGGGTACATTCATTCCGGACAAAAACAACAAAACGGAGGACACCATAAACGAGGGTCTATCGCCGGTCGCAGAAGCTGGGAAGTTCATCGCTATCGATTGTGAAATGGTTGGTGTTGGGCCCACTCCAGATACCGACTCAGCACTTGCGCGCGTCTCTATCGTGAACTACCATGGTCATCAGTTGTACGATTCCTTCGTCCAGCCTAGAGAAACTGTTACAGATTATCGCACGTTCGTATCCGGGATTACACCGCAATTACTACAGTCAGCGAGGACCTTTGAAGCTGTGCAAGCGGATGTTGCCAAGCTGCTTGATGGGAGGATACTTGTCGGGCACGCGATCAAGCATGACTTAGAGGCGCTGTTGCTCGGCCACTCTAAGAGAGACATAAGAGACACGAGCAGGCATCCAGCATTCAAGCAGCTGGCGGGCGGTAAAACTCCGGGCTTGAAGAAACTGGCGAGGGAGGTATTAGGAGTCGAGATTCAAGGCGGGGAACACTCGAGTATCGAGGATGCCAGAGCAACGATGCTGCTTTTTAGGAGGGAGAAGGAAGGATTTGAGAAGGAACATATTAAGAAGTTTGGACCGGACCATAAGAGACTGAACGGGTTGGCAGAGGATGGAGGTCAAAAAGGCAACCATAGCAAAACGAAGAAGAAGAAAAAGAAGACCAGGAAGTGAGAAGAGCCTATACACCCAGTCCAAGATCGGAACGGTGGGTATCTCCCTCGCAATCTGCCTAGTCTTCTGCTTTGGCACAACTTCCTACCAGCACGTGGACAGGAAGATTCGTATCCATTCATAGCAACTATGAGGGACCACTACAAACGATTGAACGCTCAAATCGCTCAACAACTCCGAGCTCGCTAAATGCAGACCCGGACTGCCACGCTTGAAGTGAAAGCTACAGGGGAATATTTTCCAACATTTCTGTGGCCCCTTCTCGCCCAACTGTGAGGACCACATCACCAAGGGTCTTAGTATTGAAGCCTGCCTCGCAATACGTGAAGTAGTACTGGATTAACGATTAGCATTCCGAATCCGCCTTTACACGTGTCTCGACTTACCTGCCATTTCCGCCTGAATAACTCTACATCCTTGTCCGTCATTCCCTCGTGCTCACCTAACAACGCTGGCCGGATTTCGCTGTCAAAATTCCTCTCGAACTTCTCTCTCCACAGTCTCAATGTCTTTGCATAGTGGCCTCCAATGTTCAGTATTGAATCGACGACCAATGCCCCATGCGAACCCTGTTCGATACTCCCAACCAGCTGACTGACGGTCGGCAGATGGCCTCCAGGGAAGATATATTTCCGAATGAAATCTTCGCCTTTCGAGTAACCTTCGTACCTTGTCTCGGGCATTGTGATGCACTGGAATACGGCGATTCCTCCCTGAGGTTTCAATAGTTGATTGACGCAATCAAAGTATGTAGCCAGAAACTCGCGGCCGACGGCTTCCAGCATTTCGATACTAACCAACTTATCGTACAAGCCTTCCCTCGGGGTGGGCAACGCTCGATAATCGCAAAGTAGTACCTCGATATTGTCCGTGTATCCTGCGGCGGCTATTCTTTCCTCGGCTAGCTCCTTTTGCTCTCGGCTGAGGGTCAGACTCGTAATTCTGCACCCTGTCTTCTTCACTGCGGCAATGGCAAAGCTTCCCCATCCAGTGCCGATCTCGAGGACATGGTCTGACGCTTTTATCTTCGCAGCATCAATGAAGTATTGAAGCTTGGTACCCTGTGCATCTTCGAGGCTCTCGCACTGGGCTTTCGCGTCGAATGTAGGGGACCAAATGGGACAGGAGTATGTCATATCGTCCGAGAGAAAGGCAGCGAACATGGCATTACTGATGTCATAGTGGGCCGAGACGTTTAACTGGGAGTTCGCCATCGTGTTCGTGCTGCGCGCAAGGCTGTTCACCGTTGAGGCAAGAGAAGATGTCAACGTTGTCGCATTGGAAAGTTGGGCCCGGTTGAGAATGAATATCTAATGCCATTAGTGAGTGGGGCTGTTCATCAAGCTCTACTCTCCTTACGCACCCGAAAGAAGGCAACCAGATCTGGACACGATATCTCGCCCAGCATGAAGCTCTCAGCGAATCCCTAACCGATCAAATTCTCAGCTCTCGCACCGTTCGCGAAGCCTGCTCACCGAGCCTGTCGCCCTCGCAAAGATCAGGTCACCCACCATGTCGGCAAACAACATTACTCGCACCCAAAAAGCTTCCTTAGAGACCCTCAATTCCGTGCGGGGAGATCCATCTTTTATGCAGGGCTGTCCACAAATTGTCACGGTGCCATCACTGTCTCTAACGACCAATTGGCCGACCTCAATTCGGCTGAGCAGTCCCAGGACCGTGCTGCGTGAAAGCTTGACAAAAGGGCCCCATGTGAAGGAGCCAAGGTAGCTGCGCAAGGAGTCGAAGGTGCGGGAGACGATGGCCATTGCCGGATGGACAAATGATGCAGAGGCTCCACTTTTGCCTTGGAAACCCGGGCGTCAAAGAGTGGAATTGTCTCTGTTTTAGATATGCGCACTCAGGCACAGTTGGAGTTGCTTATGGATACTTCAGCGTAAGGGTGTACTCGTACTCGCATTATCTCAACATTTTTTCTTCATTCAGGTACCAAATGTGAAATCACCACTCGCAATGTTTCTGTTGACAGGGATCAGCACCAAAAAAATGCACTATCGCACGGTGGGGTCCAGTCCCGCCGTCGGCAATCGGACCCTTTCCTCGTAATCGTGTTGGCAAATCTGCACACTGCAGGAACCTCTTCCGCCGGCTTTCATCACATCTTTTTACAAATTCCGCAATCCTTCCGGCATGGATGATCTGATAGATAGATAGATAGATAGATAGATCGATCGCACCAGGCCAGTCAGGCAGTCTCGCAACTCAAGCCGTACTGCACTCATTGCCTCCTGACTTGGGTGACAGTGCAATGACATCTTGATGTGAGGTTTAGATAATATAATGCCTGGACCTGAGCTGCGGACCCATCTCCGCTCAGCCCTAGAGCCGCATCCTGTGCCTGACGATCAACGGGCTCATGTGATGTGATCAGGGCCGATGCCATACACGGGCAGTACAAGCTGAATAACAACAACGTACGTTTGCTGCCGGACATGGCAGATTGGTTGCAGGCTTAGGAGTATGGATTCGGGAAGAGGAATGCATCCCACTAAAGATAGAGTAACAGTGGGCAATTCAATTATCATTAATTTACTATGTTGTGTATGTTGAAACAGAAATCCATGCTTTTTCCATGCTCTTCATCTCTTTCATTCGGTCTCAGCTGATCTCGTTCATTCGAACTCAGCTGAGGTTGACCTTGGTGCCGTTGCCAGGTAATTTCGCCCTGAAAAGCACATATGGCTTGATTCTCCTGTCAGTGCCCGGATAGAACATAGTTGTCCTCCATAACTGATTCTCGGTAAAGTAGATGTAGCCATCCGATGCCACCGAAAGGGTATCCGTCCACCTGCACATTTCGGGAGTCAGTATGACTATTGTGAAGCAGAAAATTCAGGTTGCAAAACAGAATTGAGAAGCATTATGAGCATACGTTCCCAATGCCTGTCTTGGGACTCAATCATGGTATACATTGTGGTGGGGAGGGGTGGGGGAAATTGCTCCGAGAAGTGCACTTACGACATTCTTGGGTCTCGTGCAAAAACGTTCACAGTTCCATTAGCCGGATTGAAGAAAATAATAGAGTTGTCTTCCTGGTTCCCGCCGTAGATGAATCCATTGGTATCGGTTTCGAGGCCGTCCGATATGCCTTTCTGCCCGTGCGAGACGACTGCTTGTGTAGCCATCAACTCGCTGGTGAGGCTGTCGTCGAGCAAACGAGCCGTAGGAACGGAGTAAAGATAGCGACTGCCCACTGCGGAAAAGTAGAGTGTGGCTCCATCAGCACTCAGGGCGATTCCGTCTGCGCCGAAGGTGCTCTGACTGATGGGCATGGTAGGTCCGTTGGGAAGTGAGTACACAGTATTGCCCCAGATTACCGGAAGAAACCCCGTTTCAGGGTGTACGTAACTTGTTCCATCCAGGTGCCTCCATGACTTGCCAGTGCCAAGATCAACGACGATGATACCGTTACGGCCTTCTTGACTTGAATCAGTGATGTAGCCCACGCCGTGTCCCGACGCAGTAACATTGGGGCGTAAATCGAAGCGAATATCGTTGATATAGCTGTCGGGGTATACGACGTTCGGTGGAAATACGATGGTCTTGAACATGGTATTGTTGGAGAGGTTGACGCCAATGAGTTTCGGCCCACCAACACTGGCATAGACATTTGTTCCATTTGGCATCGCTGCACGGCCAGTATCCAGGATCCAGAGGCGGTCCAGCGGATCAATGACCACACTTTGGACGCCGATTAGGTAGTTTTCATAGTTGGCGCCTGTGGCTGGATTGGTGGTGTAGTTGATTGCGCCCTGGATTGAGATTTTGGAATCAGTATTGCCATTTGAGATGTGATATCGGGTCTTGCAACATATTTAACGGTTTAAGACCCGCGAGGTATGTCTCAAGGCTCAAGATTTAGTCCAAAAAAAGAATGGTGGACTCGGATGATACGCACACCTGGAGGCGAATTGATGGCTACCGAAGGATATGGCGTCTCGGTATTATTACCAGTCAATTCAGCTACAGTATAAGCGATGTTGTTGGGATCGAGGGAGCGAGCGTAGTTGGAAAACATGCGACCCGTCGAAGAGACAGCGATCCCTATGCGACGATTAGAGGAGAATATATGGACAGAGCGTAGAAAGATTGGGAACCTTGTGGGTACTCATTGCTGTATAGATGGACGACCTCAATCGACACGCCACCCGTTCCAGGATCTTGGGAAATCTGCTGAGAAAGAACGGATGCAGTGATGGCAGCAATGACAGCTATCGAGTTGCTCTTCTTGAAGTACATGATGTAAATTTGTATCGCCAATACTTTATGTGAATGGCCGAGGGAAGGATATGGTTACTGTATCATCATAATAGCAGACAAGCAGATGATTTGTAGTCAAATGCATCCTAGCTTTAATGAACGTCATCGCTGCAAGATGGGGAAACGCGTCAATGCCCATGGCCAAAAGAGGAGGAGTTACTTTAGATGAGAGGAGTGGAGAAAGATGAGGAGAAAGATGTTGACGTAGGTATTTTCTTTCCTGCTCATAATCCATCAAACTCTAAAGTATGGAACCTCGGAACTTTCTCCGCAATCCGCATCCCGCATCCGCCAAGGTTCCCTTATGTAAAGTACGGTACCTTACCTCCTTACAGTACCGGCTTCGGGTAAGGTACCGTAGATGTGCCCTAAAACTCTTTCACTTCGTTGTCACGTCGCGTTAGTGCACTCCCAACCCTGTGCTCACGCGTCAACTCGAATCCACTTGAGAGCAATCAAAAACAAAACTGAGTGGTCATCCTCAAAGAGTGTCCTCTAGTCATCTTCTTCCACTTTCAGCGGAACCATGCTCAAATTCTCCAAACCCGAGACTCGTGTTCAGAAGCAGTGTGAGCCTAATGTCCTCCCGTGTCGCATCCATCATGACGGGCCGGTCGACGCTTCGCCGAGGTACTGGGCTCCAAAGACAGCTCAAGGTCAGTATTCCCTTGCATTGCTGTTGCATTCAACTCAGAGACCAATCTGAGGCTCGTTTGTCACAGATGGACAGCCAGAGGCATACTTCCGCGGGAGGAGGCTGAGAGGACAGGAGATTGATGTTCCCCAAGGGTACAGAGGCGTTATTGTCAAGGAAGCTGGGAAGGAGAGGACCTCTCTCCAAAACACTGACGTGGGCAATTTGGAGAGAGAAGAAGGGGAGCAGGAGCAGGAAGAAGTCACAGTGTTGAACGAGGTCGGCTCATTCGACAAGGTGGTTATTTGGAGTCACGAGACCAGGCTCGACGAGGATGATGCCTTCGTGAAGGGTTTGGGTGAATGGATTGGTTTCGCTGAAGCTGTCAGTCACGTGTTTCCGGCATGCGCGCAGAGATCCATGTACAACCGTTGCTGACATGACCTATCGAGTAGATAAATGCCCCAGGAGACGAAAACACTTCGTAAAGATGGGCAAAGAGAGCTGTCGATTTTCCAAGGCGATTTTAAGGGAGTAAAATGGTATGGCCTTGTATTTGGTAGTAATCGGATATGCCAAAGTGACCGACAACCTCGAGAGGACCATGGACTATCCGTTCGTTGGAGACAGAAGCAGGCGTGGATCAAAGAGGCGTCACAAGGCGTCTGCTCTTGGATTGGTCGAAGGGTCGTCCCACCAAAGGGAAACGACCGCCTACTTTAGGTTAGTCCAGCAACCGGTATGCTCTCTTGAGTAATAGAGGTCGCCTTCCTCATCTTTCGGGCCAGAGCACCGTGTTAGCAGATAGATCAAGTAATCCGAGTGGCTTTGGTAGTGAGACCAACCAATGATGCAAGCATTCAAAATCTATCATCGACACCCAGCCGCAGTTCCTCCATTACCATCCATTGTGATATAGACGACCATACCAGACGCTCGTGACCCACGGTCGCAAAACAACAAACCGCCTTCAGATCCTGCCCTCGACCTTGGTCTCCTAGTAGCGATATCTCGTCGAATAGTCTGTTCAACAAAACAGTCAGCTTGTCATGTTCCATACTCCGCTGCCTACTCTGAAGAAGAGAGCAATCAGGAAACTAGGTAAGGTGGACGTACCTTTTGGACTGACGACCAGACCTCTCCCTTTCTTGGCTCCTCGGTAAATCGTCTCAATGATATCAATCAATTCTTGCTTATCCTCCAGCACCCAGTTCAGCTTGTTGTTGTTTCCTGTCCCAAAATCGCACATCTATACGGATTCAGTAAATAGTAGATTTTTTAGGAAACTAGAAGCTTACCATGTGCTTGTTGCGGAAGAAGAACATGAGTGTCACTGGATCGTAGAGCTCGTACATCTGCTTGAAGTCTGGAACTTGATCTAGATCGCAGACATAGAGCACTGCGAAGTTCTTGACACGGTCGGCGATCCCTACGCAGCGTGAGCAAAGGAGTGTACAAAAGGAGGGAGAGGAGTCATATACTGTAGAGTACTTCATCCTGGCGCATACAGTCGGCGTCCCAATCGCGTCCGAAGCGTATAACCACCAGACGTTCTTCTTCCGACAAGATAGCTTGGTCAACATGCCTATGGACGGTCAGTCTTTTCCACGGACGGGGATGGCAAGATTATTTACCAGCCTGTGACCAGGTGGGGTAGGACAACGGAGCCCATGCTTTGCGACTCGGGAGAATTGAAACGAGAGTAGACTGGACCGCCTAATGTGCGTGATCAAGCAGAGGATGGGTACGTTGATGCGGTGTAGAGATGCAAGTGTGTAAGTCGATAGACCGTAGCGCCAAGATATGCATGAGGGACACCCTTCTACAGTACGGGTACTTTAGTAAGCTCGCTTCTTGCACAAATCATGTCTCTCTCTGCTTGCCTTGGCATACCCCGTAGGGCTACTAGAGCTGTTTTGACGAGTTTCGAGTGACTGGGGGGTGGTGGGGGTACTCATAGGCCTTGTCTCGCCAAGTCCGCCTCCCCGCAGGACAAGTGAAGAATCAATCTGCAACACCACAACCTATCCATCATGGCGCCCACAGCTATTACTCCTGATTTTTCAAAGTATCCAGATCTCAAGATTGTACCGCCATCTGCTCCAGACCAGGACCCGGACAGCCTCCCGTCAGAGTTTGAAGAACCTAACCCAATCGCCCCCCTCCGCGCCGCCCTTGTCTCTGAAGCTACACCTCTTGCTGTTCGATTCCGAGCTCTTTTTTCCCTGAAGCATCACGCTTCCAAGCATCCTCCGACCCTCTACACTCTTCCCGCCATCCATGCTATTGCCGCCGCTTTGCCATCGCCCTCCGCTTTGCTAAAGCATGAACTTGCCTACTGCCTGGGGCAAACTGGCAATCTAGCTGCCGTACCGTTTCTAAGGACGGTCTTGGAGGACAGATTGGAGGATGCCATGTGTAGGCATGAGGCAGCTGAGGCTCTTGGGGCATTAGGGGATTGGGAGTCGCTGGGCCTGTTGAGGGGTTTGAGAGATGAGGCAGGAGAGGCTGAAGTCGTAAGAGAAACTTGTGAGATTGCGGTGGGAAGGATTGAGTGGGATCACAGTGCCAAGAGAAAATCAGAGCGATTACGAACCAGGTGGGTCCTCTATCTAACATGGCCGGTGTTGCCGAATGTTGACGATTCTGGAATAGCGATTTCACATCTATAGATCCTGCGCCACCGCTCGCCCAAGGGACCAGCCAACATACAATCGAAGAGCTTCAGAGACAGCTTCTGGATACGAGCTTCCCACTCTTTGGCCGCTACAGGGCGATGTTCGCCCTCCGCGACCTTTCATCCCCACCTGATCTTTCCACGGCCGTCCCAGCCGTGAAAGCTCTAGCATCAGGATTCTCTGATCCCTCAGCGCTCTTTCGGCACGAGATTGCTTTTGTTTTTGGTCAACTCTCCCATCCGGCATCAGTACCAAGTCTTGTAGCCACCTTGAGCAACAGCAAGGAAGAGAGTATGGTGCGGCACGAGGCTGCTGAGGCGCTTGGAAGCCTCGGAGACGAGGAAGGCGTCGAGGATATCCTGCGGGGATTTCTGAATGATCCAGAACAGGTTGTAAGAGAGAGTGTTGTTGTCGCACTAGATATGGCAGAGTTCGAGAAGAATGGTGAGAGGGAGTATGCTGTTCTCCCAGAAGAGCTATGATTTTCGCCGTTGGCAAAGGTCATATGATAGATACCCAAGAGGACGATTAAGTCAGTTGTTTATGCTGAATCTATGGCCTGTATTAGCATGCCTGAAACGAAGCCATTAGCACAAAAACGGCCTACCTGTGACCGCAATCGCAACTGTAGAACACTGTTGTACCCTCATCGGCGCTTCTTAGCTGTTGGGTGTAGTATCTCATTTCTTTACTGCCACAATTTGGACATGTCTGCCGAATCACAGCATCTTTTTGGACGTCATCCTCCGTCAGAGTCTGTACTGCAGAAAGCTTTGAGCGGAGGGCGGAAGGGAAAGATGTGGGCTTTGATCTGGTTGTGATGGCACTAGATGATATGTCTATGAGCCCGCATCAGAACCTGCATCAGCGCCTCTGTAAGCCAAGGTGAAAAAACTGCAGGCGCTATACCTCTGTTCTCCGTTCCACACACGTCACATCTCAAGATTGCCTTTTCGTCCCCAGAAGACCCATCCAGCAGGTTACCGCAATCGGTGCAGAACACGAGCGATCCGATTGCCGCCATAGCTATAGTGTAAAGACTTTCCGCAGCTTCAGTATTTCTAGAACTTGCCGTCTCCGGCCGGCGTGACGATGGGAATCCTCAAGGGAAAATATTCAGGGGCCGAGAACAAAATCTGGAGCCATGTTGCCAAGCATATTTTCCCGCCCGGCTAGGGCTGTGAATGTAGATCCGAGGATCCAAAGGAACTTTGTCGTGAAGCCGAATTGTGACAGCAACCTCACCAATCACTGTCACGCTCACCAACCAATATGAGCCTGGTTTTTTCATGGCCAACTTGACTATCTTGACCACCTAGCTTCTGTAACACACATGGATAGTATTATCTTTTTCCATGACCAAGAACAATGGCCTCGCCAAACCACAAAGCAGGTCTGGCAGTCGTGGTCCCTACTTCTGACAATCGAAGCCCGACTCAAAGGAAATCCAAACAGTATGCGTTGAACGTGCCCCGAAATGGCGTGTCACAATTCAACGGAAATACTCCTCCCCGACCAATGAACGTCAGCATTACTCCTCGACAGCCAAATGCTGTACCTCCTGTCAGACAACCAAATGGAGCTTCTTTTCGGTTGCAATCAACCGGAGTGGCACCCTTTCAGCCATTCAACGGAATGCCTCCCACTCGGCCAAGGCTTTTGAACGTTGATGAAGCTTTGCAGTTCTCTCCCTTCTCTTCTATCGTTCCATTTGGTCCTGGTCAGTGTTACTAGAGTTCCTAAACAGCAGCGTCTGACTCCTCCAGATATTATACCAACACCAAACGCCAACCTTCCTGGCTCTCAACCAATCTTTTCTACCTCAAACGAGCATCGCATATCCCGTCAGCCACTTGATTATTTGGGTGAAGAGCTTTTTAGAAGTCAGGGACAGTCTAGCATTGTTCAGCGTTCGAAACATGACCTCATGGCTTACCTCAATCCGAATGTCATTACTGACTTGTGAGGTTGCCCACACACTCACACGTGATGCGGACTTATAATTGAAAATAGTAAATTCAAAGTTCCTGCGGGACTCCATGGCAACCAGGAGCGCCCTCAAGCTACGTCCAATGGTAACGGCCATAAGCAGGCTTCAAGTAGTTTGGGTCCATTTGCAGATTTGTTACTCCATGCAACAGACCTTGCTCATCGTTGTGAGTATACACACAACAAGCAAGAAGGATGATTATCTTTGCTGATGATACTTTGATTCAGACCCAACTCCAACAAGCCCGGAAGATACTTCTCCTGCACCAAAGACAAGCCCTCAGCCTCCGCATTCATCTGCCTCGCTTAACGCCAAAACAGTAGCAGATCGTCAGCAGCCTCACCGACCGCACTCAGTCTCAAAGCGAAAGCTTCAGACACTGCAACAGCAGTCGCCAATCACGCCTACAAGCGAAAGGTTTACCAGTAACGAGGCGGCCTTCTCAAAGAATGCTCAAATTTCCGCTAACGGCGTATACGGACCTATATCAGCGAAGCCACCGCAATTTCCTTTGGTCGTAATCCCTCCCTCGTCAGTCGAGTCTCGGAAAAGCGACTTTGTCACCTATGAAGAGCCTACAGGAAGAGACAATAACGAAGTTTCTCGAAAACGCAAACGTGATGCCGAGGCTCAAACAATTGATACACTATCGCAGACAAAGGATCAGAGAGCGGCATCGGACGAGACGCTCCGTCAATTGAAAGGAGTGATTCAGGATATTTTCGAGGCTGATGACCAATCGCAACTCGACGGTCCGGGAGTTACCCATTCCGTGCACGCTCAATACTTCGTCCCAGTTTATCGCGAAGAGCAAGAATTAAATACCTTGGCCCCAGCTGTCCACGTTAAATTAGAGTCAAGTTTGCACAAGGCGACTACCGCCGGCAGGTTAGTCGAAATACCCGCGGACCATTTGCAGCGCCTGCAAGGACTATGTGAGGGCGCGTTGACTGCTGCTAAGTCATCAGATCTACCCATTGATCTCGAATGGAACGCAGACGACTTCGCCGCTTGGGTCTCAAAGCTTGATACAGTGGACCTGGGTCTTCGCTCTGCTCGGACGATCCTAAGGATGATGACAGGCGGACGTGAGGAAAAGCAAATCTATTCAGAAGAGCTGCTGCAAAACGTGATAGATGTGGTCAAAAAGACCCTGGACCACTGCATCATCCCTGTTGTCGAAGCCCGAAGCTCTAGTCCCAGTACGGCCTTTTTCGAGGCAGCTTCCTCACATAAAAAGATCATCTCGCAGTTGTTGTTCGATGTTAGTAGGGTCATGGCTTTGTTAGCCAAGCTGTTGTCCAGGGTGGAAATCGCAGAGATCATCATCACTGGCATAGAATTCTTTGCCTTTCCCCTACTCTTTGCGGAAAATGCGCATAGCGAGAAAGAGTCTATTCTCGGCATCCAGAAGTTTGAGAGCCTTCGCCATACGGCAATGGACATGATCGCCACGATTTTTTCAAGATACCCAGGGCAGCGTCTATTCCTCTTTGATGAGATTCTGTCTTCCTTGCAGAAGCTTCCCGTAACTCGACAGCACGCACGCCATTTCAAGCTGGCAGATGGGCCGAGTATTCAGCTCGTCTCCGCGCTGATTATGCGACTAATACAGACAAGTGCGACGCGTTTGGGAAGAGTCATCGAGAAGGCCCCAAAGCGTAGATTGCTTTCATCTGAAGTCGAGCAAGGAAGCGGATTTGAGTCGTCTCAAGAGGAGCATTCAAAAGCCGCGGACAACGTAGAGGAGAGTGTGGAGTCGGGTACATCTGAAAATGACGAACACTCAAGCCATAATTTCGCCATCCAGAGGCTGGGGAAGGAGGCTACCTCACGTTTGGACAATGCCGCTAAGAGCGCACAGTACGTGATTAAGTACCTCGTGCAACGTGCGATGACGGCTTCCAAGACGGGAGATCAGCCGCATCGGCAGCTCCTGGAATTGTTTCTCGAGGACTTCATCACGGTCCTCGGCCTCCCGGAATGGCCAGCAGCGGAACTTCTTTTGCAGATCTTGTTCGCCAACTGCCGAAATATTGCAGAAAATCAAAAATCTCTGGCCCCTGCAAAGAACATGGCTTTGGAACTCCTAGGACAGATGGGCTCAGCCATATCCGAATTGGTGTCGGATACTCGCCATGCTGCAAGGGGCTTGGAGGGCCATGAGTCCCAATACAGCGGGTACCTTCGTCAGATGTTGGACGATTACATGGATGGATCGCTGGAGACCAGTGAGGTTGTGATATGGGACGGACCTTATCATGCAGTTGCGGAGTATCTTCAAAACAAGGACTCCGATGATCCACAGATTGTTAGCGCCCAGGCTTACTATTTGGCACGATGGGCGAAGGTTGTTTCGTCAGGAGCAGTGAAGGTAGATTTCAAGAGCGAAGCACTGGCTTCAAAGATGCGTGAAATGCTACTTGGAGCAGGCTGGCCTGTATCTGGGTACGTGCTTTCTCTTCTTTGTGGAGACTGCTATTGCTAACGTGTTTACTAGAGACCTGGATGGTTTGACGAGTATCCAAATTCGTATCGCCTACGCGCTAACTGTACTAAGCATGGACTTTTGCCGTCAATTTGATTACATCCTCAAGATTTTGCTTGATTCGGTCACCAGCGAGCAGATCACAGTGCGTACTAGGAGCCTAAAAAGTGTTACCCAGATGCTGGAAAAAGATCCATCACTACTCGATCGCGCGAGGAGTGTCAAGACACTTATAACGAACTGCGCAACTGACGCTTCTCCCATGGTCCGCGACTCGGCTTTGACACTAATCGGCAAATGCATTATCCTAAGGCCCGCACTTGAACAGGATTTCCTCAGACACGTGCTAAAGCTGAGCGACGATCCAGCGACGGGAGTGCGGAAACGCTCGATGAAATTGCTGAAGGACATATATCTCCGAAACACCGAAAAGAACGTCAAGACAGTTATTGGCGACAGTCTACTGCAGCGGGTCAAGGACTCCGACACTGGGGTCTCAGATCTCGCACGCCAGACATTCGAGGAGATCTGGTTCTTGCCATACAATTCTTTTCCAGATCTCGCAGATGCGTCGGTCCCGAACAAGCTTGCTCTCCGGGCTCAGGTGGGCCTCATCATCAGTACGGTACAACGAGGGGAAAGGGTGTCCTCTGTATTGGTCCATCTGCTGCAAGATATCCTGTCCAATAAATCCAAAAGCGTTGCGGCAAGTTTCAGAGTCTGCAAATCGCTTGTTGCTACTGCTTTCGAAATTATGATCGATCATACTCAGGAAGCGGAGGGCCTGGAGCAGCGCCACATTCTTCAAACCTTGACAGTTTTTGCCAGAGCCAATGCGCGGCTGTTTACCCCCGATCAATTGCACAACCTGCAACCCTATATTACGAATCTTTCAGGCAAAGACGATCTCGACTTGTTTAGGTCGATCGTCATCATTTTCCGCTGTGTATTGCCGGTGCTGTCTACTATTCAGCAGACCCTGCTCCAGAGTATCCAAAAGGCGCTGCTTCAAAGCGTATCGCGACTTGGTAAGGGAGAGTTGAACGAAGTAGCTGAATGTCTATGGACTATCAATGGCACGCTGCAAAACCCCGAGATACTGATCAAAATGATTGCAACTGTACTGACGCATTTACGGCGTCTGGAGAGAGGGGCTATCAAGTTTGCCGATCCTGAGCAAAAGGAAAATCTAGGACGCGTCAGGAAATACATACGGATCGCCGGATGTTTCGGTAAACACTGCGACTTCGAAAGTCACGATAAGGCTTTTCAGAGTAGCTTAGATTGGTGGAAAGGTGGATCAGTAGCTGGACTGATTGTTCAGTCTGTCAATCCATTCACGAGCTTCAATCAACCGCTCCCACTCAGAGCCGAGGCATTCGACAGTATCGGTCTCGTCTGCCAATCGTGGCCATATCAATTCGCCCAAGAGCACATCAGTAACGCGTTTCAGGATGTTCTTCGAAAGGGCGAACCAGAGCTGCAGATCATTGTACTTTCAAGTTTTCGAGATTTCTTTGCCAGAATAGACCGTCAAGCCGAAGGCAAAGGTGAAGAAGCCTTGGCCGGACCCGAGCTTCCTGCTGGAGGGAAGCTGGGAAGATCCATGACCGCAAATGATGGCGATGGCGCTTCGGCCTTGATCGCCCAGCGCTTCCTAAAGGACATCTTGAACATAGCGTTGGCCAGCCAAGAAAACTCTGCACTGACCGCAACTGAAGTCATCGCTAGTATCAATCGGCAAGGTTTAGTACACCCCAAAGAATCGGGTCCTGCCTTAGTTGCCTTAGAAACTTCAACTAACCCAGCCATTGCCGATGTGGCTTTCCAAGAACACCGCCTCTTGCATCAACAACATGAGAGTATGTTCGAGCGAGAGTATATGAGAGCTATCCAGGAAGCCTTCAGATACCAAAAGGACATTGTAAGAGATCCTCTTGGATACACGACACAGCCATATGCTTCTAAGTTATGTGGTATGTTCGATATCATAAAGACGAGCAAAGGCAAGTACCAGAAGAAGTTTCTTTCGAATCTATGCTCTAAAATCGACTTCGACGTCTTGAAGACCGATCTCTCAGATGTCCTGCAATTCTCCCGATTCCTGACAGAGAATCTCGCCTTTTTCGATTACGGCCGGCTAGACGAGCTACTTCATACGATATCTTGTATGGAGAAAGTCGTCGCGGATACTGGATCAGGCGTCGCTCATAGTATCAGCACCGAGATCTTCCACATCACCGTGGAGTCGATGCCCGACGCGGCCCCAGGAAATGCGCCTCAGAATCAAGACCCAAATGATGGGACTGGCGTGACCGTTGATCCTTCAAGGCTACGTCAACTGAGTATCGCCTCGGTCATTCTGTCTTCACTCTGGGAAGCGAGAACCTATCTGCGCCGTCTCTACGGTCTCAGCGCAAGCCAGCAGAAGCGGGAGAGCAAGAAGAGTGCAGCGAAAGATCTCAGCAAAGCCCCAAGTCGCATACAAGGCCTAACGGGCGACAAAGTGGTGGCAGCAATAGCCGAAAAGGTTTCCTCGCTAGGTAGCGAAGAATCAATGATGCACCAATGCAAGGAATTTGTTGAGTTGCTCTCGGTCGACAATGAGATCAAGGTTGCCGCCGAAGGAGAGGAAGACTTGGAACGTCCGGAGACGCCTAGTGGGGATGAGGAGCGTGACACACCAATGAGTGGTGGATCAAGGACATTGAAGAGGAAGGTCTCTGTATCCATTGCCGGGACACCGATGAAGAAGAAAAGAGGAAGACCATCGCTCAAGAGGAAGAAGAGCGGCAAGAGCGTTGATTCCGAAGAGGATTGGGATTAACGGCCTATGGATCACCCATTTTGGTAGAAAAGCTGAGGGCTTGTTGTGGTTTGCTTGTGCTGATCATCCATGTCTCTAGAGGATCTTACCAACAATCGTGGCTCTATTTGCGTTGCAATATCTGGCTGCATGAGGAAGCAGGCATTTGACGTTTTGAAGTGGAAGATACCCATTATGCGCAGCTAGGCATCTTTGCATTGACATCTGCGTAGCAAAATAACTAGTAAACATCTACTCTCAGCTTCAGTGTCATCATGTGTCTCAATGTCGGGTAGAGCTCGTTAGTTGGTTGGCAACTGATCGACCGAAGTCACGACCGAACTTTTAGAGAGGCAATGCTACACAGGAATTCTTAGCGCAGTGGTTGTCCTGACTGTTTACGCTTATTGCTGTCCAGCTGTCCTTGACTGAGTCAGTTCTAGAAATTGACACAAACGTAGTCACTGACCCAGTACTACACTACAAACCGATCAAAAGGAAGAAGGAAAGAAAGCATCCAGAAAGAGGTGTCAATGAAGGAACTCAATCACCAAAGCAGCAAGTAATAGAAGTTTCAGCCTGAAAGGGGGTGTACTCTGTAACTATCAAAGCCTGCTAGCAATCTATGTGCTTGTGCTTCGTCTCCTACCCGCTAATGAAGCAGGCATTTGAACTCGCTACCTAGTAGTTCATCATGTCTATAACCCCAGTCAGCATTGCGATGAACATCATAATGGACAGTTATCGTTACCTCTTCCGAACAAAGCCCTCTTGCTCCAATCCATGGCCAACAACATCCTTGTCCTGAGACTCACGCTCTGCGCAAAGTACACGCTTCTCCACAGGTATACTGCCATCAAGCCGCCACTGAAACTCAATCCATTGAAATCGAAAACGGCCGAGTTGCCGATATATGCCAGACTACCCAAATGATGATACTCAAACGCTTTGTAGACAGCTTCGTCTAAATCGCCATAGTCAACTTCGTTGACCATCATTCCAGGCGCCGCCTGCGCCAATTTGTTAAGCTTGCGTCCCAGATACTGGCCTTGCTGATGGGCGCGCTGCGCTGTTGCTGGAAGTGAAGTGATTTTCGAATCAATCTGAAGCAGTAGTTCGTGAAGCTCGCCGAAGTCTAGTGTTCCCTTTTGCTAAAAGACATGTCGAAGTTAGTATTGATTCTCAAACATGAAAAATTGGCTCGTAAAAGAACTTTGGTCAGTATTTGAGCTCTTGCATCAGAGAATGGTGTTCGGGCTTAGTCTGCAGCAATTGATGAGGATGGAGTCACACCGAGAATACGTACGTCTTTGTCATATTGTTCAAAGAGCTTATCAAGCCGCCTTAGATGATCTGCGGCTTGTGGAAAGCGCTTCTTAACTCGTTGAGCAACATCGCGCCATTCCGGAAAGGTAATTTCCATCTTTTCGGGATCCTTGCCCTTTTCCCATGCCATCGAGCGCAGGAAGTGGACGAGATGATCTGCAACATTGTTTTGGACTGTGGAGCAATCTCCAATGGCGTATACAGAGCCAAGCGGAGCACCATTAAGGCGCAAATGTGTGTCTGTTTCCAAGGCATGTTTGTTGGTTTGAACGTCGATTTTGTCTGCGATCCTTTTACAAAGCTCAGTCTGAGCAACACCGGTGGACCAGAGACAGAAGCCCATTGGAAGTTCTTTGGTGACAGTCTCTCCCTTTTCATCCTTTTGGCTGAAAAGGATCTTGTCCTTCTGTACTTCTTTGACACGAGAATTTGTTAGTACCTCCACCTGGTCATGCGCAAATCTAGCTTCGGCGAACTTTGATAAAGCTTCGTCGTATGTATTTAGAATGTGACCCCTGCTCTGTATGACATGGACCGAGATTTCGTTCCTAAGGATCTTGGGAAACGACCGGCCCAGATCCTCATTCAGCATGTCGAATAGCTCGGCCGCAAACTCCACCCCGGTAGGCCCACCACCGCTGACAACAAAGGACAGCAGCCGTCGACGTTCTTCGTCAGAAGTTGTAGGCATGCAAGCCTGCTCTAGGTTTTGCATTACTTTGTTTCTAATTAAGCGCGCGTCCTCGATGTCTTTGAGGAAATGGCAATTCTCTAAACCCTTGACGCCATGAGGATTGGTGGTAGCGCCTGAATAATGTCAGCTCTGCAAACAAGGCACTGCCACGAAGATCCACTTACCAACACCAAGGACCAATTTATCGTAGGGAAGGTAAAAGTGGCATTCTTCGCCCTGTGCATTGGTCTGTGCCACTTCCAAAAGCTTCTCGGACAGCTCCACGTCGACTGCTTCGGCCTTTAGGAAATGCCCCTTTGCTCGGCTCACAATGCGCCGAATGGGCTCCACCAACGAGCGCAACTCTAGCGTACCAACAGTGGCCGATGGTAACATGGGGGTGAAAAGGAAATAGTTAACGGGCGACACAACAGTGACATGATAGTCCTCGGGGTTCAGCGTCTTGAGTATTGCTACGCTGCCCCAACCGCTACCCAAGAGGACCAACTTTGGCTTGTGTTTCTGCTTTGAATTCTCGGGGCAGTCATCATCATCCACCAGTACCTCTGCTATCGGTAGGTTTTTAGGTCCTCCTCTTCTTGGCTCCAGAGCGTTTTCCGAGACTGGTATATCGGTATAGGACAGATCCTCGCGATATGTTGAGGCATCGTAAAGAAAGAAAGCTACGACCAAGCCGCCTGTGATCAAGACGAAGCCACCGGCATAGGCAAATAAGCGATAAGTGAAGCGGAAGAGACGGCTGCGCCGTTTAGGTAGAGGATGTGTGGAGACTGGGCGAACCGGGTTGTAGTAGGCCAGTCGGCGCGGATTTTTGAGGAATGGCTCAATACAGGGACGCCTATTGCAGACACGGTTGACAGTCACTGGATAGCTGGCGTGAGAGAAGTGTCTTTGAGGTTTGAATCCCCGCGTCAGGGCAAACGTTGGGGTCCTGGATGCTGGCGGGAGGGTTCGCAGGCGGGGAAGCAGCTTGGTTGGCCCATAGCGGACCATTTTGCTTTTCTAAGTGCCAAGGAAAGGGTCAATGGTCAATGATTAATGGGACCTGTGCCCTTTGTTTGCACCGAGGAATCGAGTCGCATGTTAGGAGCAAGATTCAAAGTAGCTATGAAAGTAATGTACGGTAGGTGGGTAGGTAGGTGAGGATAGGCTAAAGGATGTTATCGTCACAACAATTACCGAGACAATTTGCCAAAAGTAGTGGGCGGTATCTTTCCGCTACGCTCCAAAAAAATCGAGTATAGTTGAGAGACGAGAGCCAATTCTTCCTCGTGTCACAAGTTTCAATTATAACATGGCCAAACGTACCGCAGACCCTAACGACAGTACTCATCGAAAGAGACAGAAGACTACGAAAATTTTGGCGCTCGCGACGGAAAGGCATGAGATCCTTTCGCCTAGAGATTTGCAAGTCTTGTTGGCTTTCGACCAGGACGTTGGTCCAGCGGTAAGGCAAAGTAAGAATCATTTAGAACATTGCTTCTGAAAGAAAGAAAGGAAGGCCTAATTTTGATGCAGAGATTCAGTCTTTCAAATCTTTCCTGACATCAATTGCCTATGCTGTGGAAAGCGATGATCGATCTGCTAAGCGTGCACTGCTCCTCGACTACCTGCAGTCTCAAGCTCCCCAAGAAGGAATAGAGGCTTCTGCCTATCTCGCAGATATCATAAAAACTTGGCATTTTGCAGCTCAATCAAGTGTCGATAGTCTCTTTGCCTCCGTGGTTGCTGTGCTCGCCTTGCTCCTCAAAACTATTTCCAGCTTAATTGAGTTTCGAGAACATGGCAATCGCTTGTGCGCGACCCTTCTACATGACGATCAAATCAAGCTCTTTGATAGAGGTCTCGGCACCCATAGAGCGAAAGATTTTCTCATTTCACCATGTCTGCAACTCTTGACCGAGGTTGTATCGTTTGATGGTGGTCATGCAGCCAGAATAGTGTATCGCAAGCGAGAGATCACCTTCAAGCGCCTGGATGTCTTCTTGGGAATGCGGAAGGATATCCATGACGACAACGTCAGAGGCCCAAAAAAAAGATCGGTCCGGGAGACTGCAATTGGGTATCTGTTTGCTAATTTTGGACTGCAAAGCCCCGTCGCAAAGATGAACATTATTGGCCAAGGGAAGGTTCTACATGCTCTACTGGATGACATCGTGGAAGATTCATCTACCATCATTCTTGAGATACTAAAGGTACTCAGGCGGGATATTGCTATGGATGATGCAATCTCCCAGACGGCAAAGGGCCGAATCTTCAATCAGTGGACGCTTGGCCGGCTTGCTACACTCTACGGCTACAACGAGAGTAATCGTCTTCCCAAAGGTCATCAAGATATCCAAAAATCCGTCCACGACTTCTTGGTCCTTCTTTGCACTTCGCCTGGCTGTGGCCTAGTAGAGAAGCAGACTGCAAGCAACGTTGGTGTCCACGCTGTTACAGCTGACAAGACTCTTGGAGGTCTTTCGAAGCCGTATGTCACAGACAGGGTAGATGATGAGAACCGACGTGCTATCAGAAACTCAAGGCTTGGACTGTTTCTGCAATCTCTTAGGCCCTATGCGAGTGTGCCACAATGTGATCTGATGCTCGCCGTCTTCCGACTTATGCCTGATATGATCCCTGGCTACTTCTCAAGCGGCAAATCCTTTTCTTTCGACCCAAAATTGACAATGACATGGATTGGCTACTCTTCGTTCTTACTTGCCGTAATTAGAATCCCCTTACCAGAGTCTCTCACACCCCTGAGTACCAATGACACTGTTCCCCCCTTGTACAGCAATATTATGGGGAGTATCATGCCAAACCCATGTACTCAGAAAGTGATGACTCGATGTCTCAATCAAAGTGTGAGCTTGGTGAAGTTCTTGACAATACAAATCCTGAATGCAGCATTCGAGAAGTTTGCGATAGTGCTTCGAATATGCGAGGACGTTCAGCATTCCACGAACGACCCAAAGAACCGTTTGGCCTGGTGCCAAATTGTGTCAGAGCTACGCGA